GGAGGAGGAAATTGTGAGGTATATTTTTTTAATACTTGACAAAGGAGGTTTTGTCTTTGTGGCCCATGCTCCTGAGTTTGGAGTGACTAATGCTTACTTAAACAACTATATTGCCTTGTAATGGTGTAACTACACTTGTGCATTGATGCAGGTCTTATTGTGGGAAGGTGTCTGTAGGTGTGTCATCTGCCCTGCCTTTGTGGAGGTGTAACTTAAAGCCTCTGCAGCTGTCAGTGGAGGGGGAACCCCGCGCTACCGTACACCGTGGACAGCTCATCCCAGCCCATGTGAATCAGCGCTGGGACAATAGTATCAATGCCCCGTGTCTGTCCAGTTTGTGTGGAAGTGTCCCTTTGTGTGGGAGGGGTATGTTCGTTTTATGTCCCAGAGCGCACACGGCACACAAACAAAGGTAGCGCCTCATGTTATGAGTTCCATGAAGCGGAGGTAATTGGCGTGTGTGTTCGCCCGCCTCTTACATAATATCATCCTCGCTGTGCTTCAGCAGAGGGGAGAAAGTTCACTGCTTGCTCTTTGCCAGTCACTGTTTAGTTTCCTTCAACTGTCTTCTTTCCTGTTGTTTGTCCATTTTCTGCCTTTTTAGACCTTTTTAATCGCACCAGTCTTTTGTCCTTTGAGTGGTTGTTCTTTTAGTTTGTTACAGATCATGTTTGCCATGATTTCAGATAATGCAAGCTTCCAGTCCCCACCAAAATGCCATAAATTTTGAGGCAGGTCAACTCGCACTGCAAGGTGATCAGCTGACCTTTGCTCAGAGTCCTTGTGATACTTCTGTAACATTCAGTTTTTTGAATACTGTCTGGGACCATGATGACAGCTTTAGTGAGTGAACAAAAACTGGTTAAAGAATAATTTATCGCTGCAAGAGACCAGGGCAGGTCTTAGATTTGGTCTTAAATAAGAGTCACTTGAGTGTTACAGTGACACTGACCTAAATCAGTGGTGTGTTTTTGTCCATGTCTGGGCCCAGGATGTGTCAGACTAAACGCCTGGCCTCTCCTGTACGCACCAGCAGTGTGTGTTCCAGGTGTGTGTGCGCGTATGTGTGCGCACGTGTTTGTGTGTGTGCGCACGTGTGTGTATGTGTGTGCGCGTACGTGTGTGTGCGTGCGTGCGTGCGTGTGCGTGTGTGTGTGTGTGTGTGTGGGAAGCTTGAACCTGTGGGGACAGGGTGTTGGTCGATGGCCGGCTGGCACCCTGTCCTACAGTAAAGGTGCACAGCAGCCTGCTCTCTCCATTTCTGCCTTTTTTCTCAAGTTACATCACCATCAGCTTTTCTCTCGCTCTTTTCCCCATCTCTCCTCCCGGTGCTTGCATAACACACTGCTTTATTTGCTCCAGCTGAGGAGCCTAATCTTTCCCACGAGGCAAAGGGCAAACCAGGAGAGAAGAGGAACTGTGCTGGCTGACCTCTCTAACCCGTTTGTGTGCACAGCCTTGTTAACTCAATAACTGCACCAATTAATGGGACAGCAGCCATGGGCTTTGTTTACAGCCATCACATGCACAGCATGGAGGTCTGATGCTCTGTTAGAGCAGTGCAGTGCTACAGAGCTAGAGGAGCACAGTCCCCTTGGCCGCTCTGTGCTTTTAAAGGCACATTCAGTGGCACAGTGCAACCAGAACCACCCTGAGCAATGCTGATTTTTATTTCCAAATATGTAGATGCGTGAGACTTAATTTTTTCAACATTTTAACAGATTGTTTTTATATAATCTACTGTGTAATTACATTGATTTTCTGGCATTTTACTGACTAATGTTACCCATTGATATATTTATTAATTTGTCAGTGTACCATACTGTTTTATTTCATTATCTTAGCCCCCAACATCATAGCAGCCTTACTTCTGTTCACATCAGCATTACTGGTCTTTGGGCCATCCACCCGGAGCAAGTGCCATGGACACATGTTTTGTCATGTAACTTTGTCAATCTCACACCGCTGCGCTGTGATTGGCTGGCAATGACGTCCGCGCGAGGTGAGCATTACGTAAGGACGATCAACACTGCTTAATCAGCTTTCAGAGACGCGCTTAACAAGCTGACCAAGTGGGCTGGGGTCAGTGGAGGAGACAGGCAGCCAAGAGGCACAGGGCTCAGGGACTGCTCTAACAATATGTACCACAAAACAGGAGCTGGAGAGTCGGGAGTGAGAGCTGATAAAATGAGGGGAAAGTGGTGACAGGCGGTGACACGGCATGTGGCTGTGGACCCTGTTTACGACGGCATAAACACACATAAACAAGCCCACTGTCACTCTCTGCTGCCTGCCTCTGCATGCCTGGACTGGGCTTGTCTGTGTTTGCATACATGGACCACTTTCTTCTGCTGTTTGTGGATGGTTCAGTAATTATATGTTACTAATGAGTTGTTACTATTTTAATGAAACCTCTTTTACCTGCTGTACTAAAACTGAAACTAAAATGCAATTATAAATAGAAGTTTACAACATTATAACATAGATCAGAGCATATAATATTATATGCTCTGATCTATGTTATAATGTTGTTTCCTCATCCAATACATACCAGGAGTTGTGTTTTGTTTTCCTTTTAACCATGTTTAACACACACGCGCACACACGCACACACACACACACACACACACACACACACACACACAGCCAGTGCTGTTGTCAGCACTAAAACCGTTTATTGGCCTGTGATAAAATAAATTATGATGCTAAATGAACATTAGTGAGTCGGATACATCTTAATAACCCATATGCGTTAAATGCAGGTGAAGAAATGGCTCAAACTTCAGTAGCCATTCAACTGTCTTGCCCCCCGGGAGAGCCTGAAATCTGTTGGAATTCTACAAGACACTGGCATGATACCAGACAGAACAGCGGTTTGTTCTGCAGGAGACATGCGCAGTAGAGCACAAAGTGACATAGTCTGATAATCCCTCTATAGGAACACAGAAATACTAAACGTAGCATACATTCAAAAGTATTGAATGTAGGTAAGTAGGTATGTGTACTCAGCGGATTATCACTTGGCTCTGCTGCTTTTTTGTTTGCTTTTTTACATTGTTTTGTTACTGTATTTTTATTTTTTTAGCATTTTGCACTGCTGCAAAAAACATGTCAGATTTCCATGTGTTATTGGACACAGTGAAGTTTCGTGAAAGAAGATTGAATATTCCATGTTACGCACTCCATGTCCATCTCATACAGCTCGTTCGCTCTTGACCTTTCTGCCACATACTTTTTCTTATCCCTCTATTCAAAAACACAGAGTGACCAGCCTAAGTGGACAGAGCTTTTTCCTCCGGCTAAAATTAGCTACAGCAGAAGAATGGCAGGAAGGCGCGCAGGGCTGGACGCATGAGCGGCCTGGACAGGGATATGATGGGGATTGGAGCAGTAATAGACGAGGAGTGCAGGAAGGAATCGGCTGATGGGACACTCAAATGCAGTGTATTTTTGGTGCTGGTCGCAGACATTACTGACGCACAGGAAGCACTTGCACAAAAAGGGCACAAGCCTCTCACTGTGATTACATATGGATCTTTACATCTACAGAGTAGTTTTATTCTAAATGATATTTGTAACATTTATATTGTTTGTTTTATAGCTGCCTTATTTATGTGAAATGGGGTTGTGTTGTTGATGCCTCTTAGCCAGGACTGCTTTGATAAAGAGATCTTTGAATCTCCGTGTGACTTTCCTGATTAAATAAAAGCTGAATAAAGAATAAAAAATATGGAAACAAATTTCGTCAAATGATAATCACACTAATTGATTTTGATGTCTGACTGGATAGATGGCTGGATGATGGAGGATGTATTTTGTCTATGTCTTTGTGGTATTTTTCCATCAACTTCAACATGCAAGATACTAATCTTTAACAAGCTGTTAATGTGTTTAAGATTCTGTATAAATCATGCCCTGGTCTCCTCCCCTGCTGTGTTAAAGGGTGTGAAGAACACTTCACCTCATCTGACTTTGACATAAAAAGAAAAGAAAAAGAAAAAAATCTGTCTTGTCACTTCATGTTGCTCCTCCTTTGTTTAACTTACTGCAGTGCTCTTGCCACAGTTTGCAGCCTGCCTAATGCTTGAGTTTCTATACATTTAAAACTTTCTCTGCTTGTATATCACACACCCTTACACCATTTAATCTAATTCCTTTTAGTGTAGGGATGATTAGCCTTCTTTCAGCACCCAATGAGCAGCTCCATGCCCCCCTCTCCCGAGCAGCAGAAAGGTGTTAAACACAACACGGTCTGTTGGCAGGCTATGGTACGTCCCCTGTTCACTCAGCACCCAAGGGCCCCTTTCAAATGCCAGGCCACCAACCCTCCTCTCCACTTCTCTTATCTCTCCCTTGGCATTGCCAGAGCATGTGTTTGGAAGGGGGCATGTTGACTCAGCCAACTAATAAGCCGTTAATGTTGGCATCCACACTTGTGGCACTACGATTCGGTTTGGTTGAATAAAAATACTCACTGTAAAAAAGTATTAAAGATAATCTTTCTAGCATGACGAGGGATAGAAAAACATGATTCCCAAGAGCCAGATACTATACTATACTATCTGTGCGACTGCTTCCCCCATGGGCAAAGACACAGTCTTAAAAAGTGAAAAACAGAGGTTTACAGCAGTCCAGAGTTATTCCTCACTTTTCTATGATGTAAGAAAGCTTTTATAAGCATCCATCCATCCATCCATCCATTTTCGTCCGCTTATCCGGGCCGGGTCGCGGGGGGAGCAGCCTAAGCAGGGACTCCCAGACTTCCTTCACCCCAGACACGTCCTCCAGCTCCTCCGGGGGGACCCCGAGGCGTTCCCAGGTGCTTTTATAAGCATGTTTTACACAATTCAGAGGTGAGAGTTTAGTGATTTCAATGATGCTAACAACTAGCATACTAACAGTGCACCAGCGCTACTTCATGGTTTGAGAAGGACCAAAATGCAATAGATACCGTAGAGTAGTAAAAAAAAAAAAAAGTTTGTTGTTTTTGTATATATTCAAGAAAGAAAAAAGTTTCCCTTTTCTGAGAGTCTACAGTCAATCATACATTAAATCTCAGTGAGCGCTGCTGTAGAATTAAAAAAAAGAAAAAGAAAAGTGGTGTGGCTTTCAAATTCTGAACTTTTTTTTGTTGTTGAAAGTGGTCATGCAGCATTCAGAGTTAACTTTCATTAGATCTCAGATGGATGTTTAATTATCAAGGACCTGTTTGTGCAGATCTTTAATTGCAGTGGGGCTGTTTATGGAATAAGTAGCAAATGTATATAACCTATAGACAGACAATCTACCAAGTGAGCAGTAAATTTCAAGCTCAGCCAGTTTTGCACAGCATGGCAACTACAGTATCAGCATTATTCCTGTGAAGTCTGATTGAATTCTTCCCTCACTTAATTGTGTCTTTTCCAGTCTGGAGGAGAGATCAGGTGTCTGTGCGTCTCTCGCTGCCCGCCACAGTGAGAATGTTAATCCAGTTTGGAATGTGCTTCAGACGCTCCTCGGCAGCCCTCACCCATGCAGCGCTCGTGACTCAGTTGTCTATTACTCCTAGTTTCATAACATTGTTTATTTCATAACATGGTAAGGACAGGAGAGAGACCACAACACAATGAACCAGTACACTGAACATTTGCTTGGCTGTTGTGCAAAAGGTGAAGAAATCTTTTACCCATCCAAGGTTACTGAGCACACACAGTTCACACACTAGTTCATGTAGCGCAGAACTCTGACTCCTCTCATCTACCTGTTGCTGGCGGATCCGACCTCCCACTTTTTCTCTGTAAATCTGCCTTCCTTCTTTTCCAACACATTGTCCATATTGGCGTCCGTGACCCTGCCTTGAAAGGATTAATTGCAGTTTTATGCTTTTTATTTTTTTGTTCTGTTCGTTTTTCTGGGGGGTTATTTTTAGGCCTTAAGTGTCTGGTTGCTAGGAGACAGTGTGAGCGGGCGAGCGAGAGAGAAAGGCAGGAGAATGGGGGAGAGTTTGCGTTGTGAAGGCTGAATTACAAACACGTTTGCGCTCTGAGTCAGCACTGACGCACACTACACACATAAATAAAGACTCACACAGGCTGTTTTAGTCCAGAGCCCTCATTGTCGGCTTGTTTTTCTGGTTCTCTCTATCTATTCACCAGTACAAGCTCCACATGTGCCTCAGACGCTTTTCCCTTTTTTCAAACTTAGACATGCTGTCCTCTGACTGACACACGCACCGGCCACACTTCTGCCTATGTGAGTTCATAGACAGTATGAGAAACCAGCATGGGACCTGCGGCTGACGAGGAATGAGTAATGACAAAAGGGCTCGGCTTCATAAACCTGCTGGTCTTTCTTTGCACTTCCTAAATTCCAAACATCCTACTTTGTTGTTCATTATCAGTCTGTAGGTGTGACAGGAGAGTTCCTCTGTCAGTATTACTAGTGTGTGAACTGTGCACACATGAGTAGATTATGTTGAACATTTTATCTCACTTCTGGTCTTGTGTTTCCTGTTCTCGTAAATTCTTTTTGATTTCTCTTAGATTTGTGTGTGTGTGTGTGAAGAGATTACTAGTCTCTATCAGAGGTGATATGCATGGACGAGCTCACAGGAAACAGATCTGTTGTTGTGGTGCAGAACAGTTGCTGGCTTCCTGTCCCGCTGTAGTGGCACATTCCAGGAAACCACCTCCCAAAGGTGACACCTCTCAGTTTGACTAATGCACATGCACATATTTACAAATTTAAACAAGGCCTCATTTACTCTGCTGTGGCAAAGTCACCCCATGACCCCTTAACATCATAAACACTTCACTTTGACTTCAGTTTCAGAGCCAGAGGTCACTGTGTGGCTAGGATTACACATTGTCTTTACAGTGCACTACACAACAGTGCACTTCATTGAATGATCCTCTAAAGCTCATTTCAAAAACAAACCCTTTATTTTATTACTGTTTTATTATTAGCTTTCATAAATGTGGGCACCACACTCTGGCAGGCTGTAGTGAGTGTAGGCACTGTGCTGTTGAACCAGAGGTCAGAGGTCAACTGGCAGCTCTCTGTTGAGTGTTTGGCTGCTGAAGTACATTAACAGCAGTCTGTGAGCTGCAGGAGAAGAAGAGAGGCGCCTGTGGCCTATAGCACGCTAGTGCTAACTCCAGACAGGTTTCAACAGTTATTGGACAGAAATCATTCAGCTTAAGTGCTACACATCAGTGTATGTTTAAACAGAGTGGCAGGTATAGAAAAGATTTATAACCTAATAACTTTGTGAATTGATATAAGAAATTCTCACTAAAATGGCCTTGTTTTTCTTTTGGGAAAAAGGGGGACTTAAGTGTGTAAAACTCTTTTATCCTTTTTGACTGTCCAGGTGAGTGTGTGAGACTAGTGCTGTGGACAAAGGAGCATAAGAATGTCCTGTGGCAGAAAAGCTTGATTGTTTGTTTTTTTTCTTTTTCCTACCAGTTTATAGGCTGACAGAATAGTCCAATGGGATGGAAGTGTCCCGGGACCAAGCGTAACTTTGGTGAGAGTAAATATACCTCCCATCACCCTGAGAGCTCTGCTGACACAATATTATTCTGCTCTTTGTAATGCCCTCAGGGGAACTGCACTCTGGCTCCTCATCCAGACGGCTTGTTTATGAGCGTGATAAAGTCCAGTCTCCTGGCCCACCTGAGAGAGGACATCAGGTGCAGTACATGAGGGCGCTAATGTGGACAATGTGGTGACTTTTGCCCCTTTCACTTCCCCTGTGAAAAACCTAAAGCCACTGTGTCAGTGTGTTTGTCTTTTCTTAGAGCTCCCATGTGAAGAGGCCAGTGTTGGTAGTTACAGTGCTGCTGGTGGATTTAGTCGTCCCAGGTGTTTAAGGAGGGGACCCTTGGGTTTTCTGAGCCAAAAATCAACTCCAGAAACAAGAGTGTCTCCTAAGTGATACATTATTAATTCACACACATGTTTACTGAGGCCTTATTTGCAATCTCCAGTTTATTTTTTAGGTTGATTTGTAAATGTGGCAACCCACTCAAACATTAAAGAACGTTACACTCATTATACCTTCACTAAAATTAATTGGATAATTTCAGCCCTGGAATTGCCAATCTCCATTGAACTTAAAGGTAAAAGGTCGCTGTTGACTTGAAAACTGACGCTTGAAGACATTAGAAGGTGGAAGAGACAAAACACTACTCCAGGTCTGTGTTTGAGGAGGTAGCAACATTATAACATAGCTAAAAGCTAACAATTTATGTAATATAGGACCTTTAATAAACAACATTTAGACTACATGGCATTGACTGGAAACATCTAGCAGTTTATTTTTTCAGTACTAAAAACATATCAACTCGAAGCAGCTAAGAAACTGAACCAAATTGTAATGTTATGTGTTAACAACCGTTTATCCTCTAACCAACCTCATGACCTGATCTTGTTCAGAAGATCCCTGTGGACCTGTGCGTCTTCATTCCCGTTTGTTGCTCCTGCCGCTTGCCATTTCCAAGAAGACTCACACATTCAGTTCAGTGGAAGAGGAGATGGCCAGAGCACACAGGGGACACACTTGGTTTGGTTATGTCATGTCCCACTTGCTCCCTTCTTGACACTTCCTTCAACTCCTTACTTTCATTTTTCCTTTCTTCACTGGAGTGTATTCATCTGAACAATTATCCTATAGTCTTTGTGTGTGTGTTGGACTATTTTTGGCGTACACTCTCCTCTGCTCTATATGCTTCGGCTATATGGCAGTGTGGCAGTTGGTCGGTGCCTATAGATTGTCTAATGTGAACCATGGCGACCACCAAGAATAGTTGAGAACCCTTCCAAAGCGCACACTTCTTTTACATTGTGAATGTAACCCCTCGTGGTGTCCAGGTGCACAGCGCCGCATAAACATTCCCGGCACCTTCAGTGAGAACAAGACTTTGAAGAAAAAATGAGCTCCATCTGGATTATTAGCAACAGCTTTAAGTATTTTTATTGTTCAAAGTTATTACGTTCCAAGCTTGCTGCCGTAGAGTGGGATGAAAAGACGAAAGTTGGGGAACAGGCTTGATCAATGCAGTTAAAAGAAATGCTTTCAAGTCTAATTTTATTGCCCTGTTTTGTTGTTGCCACGTCATTTAAAAGATGTGAGATACTGGTATATTTGAGACATACCCGATGGTAAGGAGAGTTCAATGTCTGTGCTACATAATCACTATAATTGGGATTTGGGATAATAAGATATATATATAAAAAAAAAGTTTGGTCAAGAAACAAAAGCTGAGTTTGACATTTCTCAGTAAAGCTAAAAGTTTATATGCTAAACCCCAGCATCAATCAATTAATCAATAACACTTTATTTATAGAGCCCTTAACCACACTCAAGGTGACCAAAGTGCTTTCCGATAAAATCAAGCAATATAAAACCATAAAACGATAACACAGCACAGCATAGGGTATTAAAACACAATTCAGCTAACCAAGGTAAAGTAAACTCTGCATTAACCCAGAACTTCTGTCTTTCTGCTGTCCCCCAGTCTGTACTCGGCCCCGCTCGTATCGCCCTAATGAATTTTTAATGGACTTTGTGGGAAGAGTCCAGACACTTTGGGACTTGAAGAGCTCTAGTTACCCCCCTCCTCCTGTTGCCAGCCCACCCTTTTCTGTCTCTTCTATCCCTCTCCTCTCACTCTTACTTTCCTCGTCTCACCCCGGGCGAATCTTATTGTGTCCCTCCTCCTCCAGTCTTGAGTTTCTTGTCTCCTGTGTTCTCCCCATCGGCGCTAGGGGCAGTTTCACTTAGCGTATACCTGTGTACAACTACGCTAAAGGCACACTGTGTATACTTTACAGAGAGCGCCATGACCTCACCCTGTTTGAGATGCGCGTTTTCCACTTCCAGGATTGGCAGGGGCTGAATTGGGTGAACGCTGTCGGCCAAGTGCAGCTAATGGTCGCTCTGAGGCCTTGGTCTCGCCGTGAAATCCCTGAGTCTGCAGAAGGCCTGTTAAGTTGGCAGAGAGCTGGGGGTATATTTGCTGATGTTCTCTTCTTATGCTTATCTCGTTTGTCACTCATCTGCTTAATCATCCCTACTGTCTTCTGGAAAAAGCAATATATGCCTTACTAACCAATACACCACACAAGAATACTGTATCAAGTATAGCGTTGTCATGATACTAAAATTTCAAACTTGACTTCGATACTAAGATATAGACTCGATATGAGAAAAAAACTTTCTTTAAAGAATAGAATGACATTTTCAACATTAAAGGTGCACTTTGTAACTTTTCTGATGGAAAGTTGTCTGCTTGTCTCCATGGAAATGCTATTGCTGAAATGTCACATCTATCTCCATGGAGTCAAGCAGGTGACACTATTAGGCCAAGTTACAGTTCAGATCTATGGATAAGTGACCCATGCTCTGAACGCATGTTTTTCAAGACATTAATATCCACTGTAATAGAATAAATGTAAGTCATGTAAGTTTAAAGCAATACTGTGGAACATTTCAGGCAAGCAGATGAGGCATCCTCCTCCCTAAAAGTTACACAGTGCACTTTTAAATCATAGCACTTTCTTTTATACTGCCATGTGGAGTTATATCTGTGTAATCCCTCAGTAGTCCAGGTATTTTCCATAGTGGTCCATGTGCATATACTAGTCCATGTGTACTTGTTCTGATACAGCTCAAGATCATTCTAAAGCTCTTCAGGAAAGGTTATATTTTTGTCCTGTGAATGAGACTGTTTTTAGTATTGATTAAATGAGTATCTAGTTTATCGGCATCTGAATACTTTTGACCAGCCTAGTCAAGTAGAATGAAAAGAATTAAAAATGAACCTCGATGAAATGTAAGATTTGTTAGTAAACAAGAACTCAACAACCTCCACACCACCCCCTCATTGGAGAGCGTTGATGGAGGTGGAGCGCATCCAAAGTCGATATGTGTGTCACGCTGCAAAGTTTTCAATGCAAAGTCGTGAGCTTAAACCGCCCAATTTACTCAAAGCTCCAAGAATAGACGATAACATTTGAAACCAAGGAAACAAAAGCTATCTCATGCAGCCTAAATAATACTAGATAATAATGCTAGTGTTTTTTGAAGTTTAGTAAATGGGGAGTATGTAGAGTGTTGGTTCTTCTCTTCATAAAGTGCATGCAAAATGTACATGCTTTAAGCCATGTTAGAATGTTGTTTCCTCAAAAACATACCTGGCGATGTGTTTTCTTTCATTCACACATGTTTGAGTAAACCTTTATCACTTGTCTGTCTACATCTCCAAACCTCAAAATCCTCTGTTTCACCTTGTGATGTCATGTAGTGGTGGTTTTCAAGTTAACACCTACCTTTTACCTTTTGTTAAATATGGATTGGCAATTCCAGGTCTAAAATCCAAATTATTCTAAGTAAAGCTGTATAGAGTTAAAAACACAGCAGAGCTCTTCCTGTATTACCACATGACATTACAAAGTGAAACAAGTTTTGAGAGAAGGACTCAGAGTTTGTGCTCAACAGGTTTGAATGAGACAAAACAAAACACCAGGTATGTTTTTGAACTTTGTGGTGCAATATGAGTCTTTTAAATCACTAAACAGTTTGGTTAGTATTCTCCATAGCTAATATTATCCTGGCATGAACTTGAAGTGGGCCATTCCTATTTCACAAGGAAACTCGTATCAACTCAACTTGCAAACCTCATGTGTGATCGGGACTTTGCCAATGTGCTTCTTCGCAGCTCAACGCCACATCTCGAGTCTTTTGTGGTCTCCTCTCTTCTCACTTCTTTTCCCCGTGGGCTGCCTCTCCTTTGCTGTGAAAGGGCCGAGGTCATTGTTGCCCTGGTGCTCGGCGCAGCACATAACTGGAATAGCAGCAGTGTTAGAAGTCTTTTAGGGGCCTGCCACTAAGATCACACAGAGGAAAAGAGGCATCCGCACTCTGAGGAGGGGGAGGGGGGGGGGTTATAAGCAATCTGAGCAGTATGACAACAGACTACCAGACGAGCTATGATCTCATCGCTCCCTAATCCCCCCTCCACCCTCTCCTGCTCCTTCTTCTCCTCCGCCATTGTCTCCTTCTCTTCCCACTCTCCTCCCCCCAGGTCTTTTTCTCTTTTTCTCATCTCGCCGTCTTCTCTTTCACTACTCTGCCCCCCTTGCATCACTTTCTACCACCTGCCCCTCACTTGTCCCAACTCCTCTTCACCCCTCTTTCTCTTACCCCCTCTGTGGAAGCACTCTCCCCGCCGTCCCAGGGCAGAGATTATAGGCACACCCCTATCCTACACTGGCCTCTACATTATTGATGGCAAGTGTGTGCGCACATGCTGTAATGGCTATCTGGTGTCACCCCTGGGAGGGAGGAGAGGAGCCAGAGAGAGGGAGAGTCCAGGTCACAGAGGTTAAGTATGGAGTGGGGGGTTAGGTCAAACTCACTGCTTTTATTCAGCTGCTACTTCATCATAGGGGCGCATAATGTCACACACAGCTATTCCATGTTAAAAGTGGACAAACTTTATTGCGTGAATATGTAGCAAATGACTTGTGTTTGCTTCTGTGTTGGTAGTAAAATTTGGTGACAGTTAGAGGCTCTTAAAATCCCAGATGATTCAAACTTAATTTGTTTAAAAACACTGCACTGTGTAACTTTTCTGGTGGAGGGTCTGTCAAATGCTTTTCTCCATGGAGATGTTATTGCTTTGTCTGGAATGTTTCACAGTATGGTATTAAAAACTTTCTATCATCATGGTGAGCAAATCAGACCAAGTTATAGATCAGATCTGTGGAGAGGCAACCCCACTCAGTCAGAATGCCAGTTTTTCTAGGTATAAAACTGTAATTTAATAAATGTAAGATAGAGCTGTTTAATGTCATACCCTCAGTCAAAAAGGTACATAGGGCATCGTTAGGTTATATTTAACATTTTTATGATGGATGTTTTTATTCACAAGAACACTTAAACGCAACACCTTTTTAGTGATAAAATTGAATTGTGTCACAAATCACAACTTTTTTCTAGTGAATTGTTGCACTGCCTCTGTTATCCAGCTATTTAGCCTCTTCGGAATTCATAGCATGTTAGAAATTTTATCTCGACTTTGGATGATTTCGCATCGTGGTATTGAGAGCTGACGAAACGCTGGCTGATCCCTGGCGACTAAGAGCTGCTCAGCGTGGTCCGACTGTGCCACAAAGAAGGACAAAGACACCTGTTCTTGCTCTTGGCATTCCTCTGAACATAATCCCCTCTGAACCACACACACATCCACACACACAAGAGGACTCCTGCTGCTTCGTCCTAAAGTCATTCTGCAGGCCCATATCACTCCAGCCTTTGATGTAACGAGTTGACAGGTAAACTGACAAGCCTTGCTAAGTCGGACTCGGCCAGCACAAACGCTCACACCTGTCGCCGTGGTAATCAGGAGGAGCGGGGAATCAGCTGATGATGACAGAGAATGTGCCCCTGTCTCTGTTCTCACACCACGGTCACCGCCGCAGGTCTTTAGCCCCGGATCCGTTTCACTCGGCGAGCTGAAATATGATGTGTGTGTGACCTCCGTGAAAGTCAAAGAGATCATTACATATGTATTGAGCACATGAAGGAGGTTACACGCTCACTCACACGCACAAGACGCTAGGAACTTGCCCTAAAAGATGTGTAACTGCATGTATTTCCTGTTTGAGGGTTGTGCTATGAAAACTTTATGTTAATCCTTTACTTAATTTAGGTCTTAAAAGTTAAAGTTCATTTGAAACCGTTTGCAGTGTTTCAGCGGTTGTAATAGTTTTCAACAACTTTTGGGCCAGATCAGTTTTGCAATCATGGTAATGCTAGTATGCTAACAGAGCACTGCCTGGTTCACACAGACAGTGGACTCATTTGGAACTAAGAGCTGCTTTTATAATCTGTATTGTTAAAAAGTTTTCTTATTTTTATACTTTTTTAATGCCATCACTATCTTTTGTAACAGCTTAAAAAAGCTTTAGTCGCTCTTTTTTTTATTCATTGTTTTTCTTGCTGTATTTTAAGAAACTACACAAAAGACCATACACTAATTAGCCCAGGCCCTATAGTAAAGCAGCTGCACTTGTTGAGCACCTGAGGGCCAATGTTAAAGTTCCCATCACCGCTGCTTTATTTGTCTACAACCACAAAGTCGGTTTGTTTAGGCCCCTCTTGACTGGACTTGACACACTTGAGTGGTCTGAAAAAGGCCAGTTTTACTGTGCTTGGAAAGAGTGTGCTGTCTCTGTAGTAGGAGTGTGTGTGTTTTTATAGGAGGCCTGTGGTTTGCCTTGTGTTTATGCTAGCCCCCAGTCTGTTCCACTGTAATCGCCGCTCACTCGTGGCTTGATAGGCCAATGAGTGTTTGTTTGGATGTTTAAAGGAGAGAGAGGAGGAGGAAAAGGGCGGAAGATAAGAAGGAAGTGCAAGATTGTGAGTGAGCCAGTGCTATAGCTTTTATTTACTATTTAAAAAGGTTTACAAACACAAAAAAAGACAAAATAAACTATATAGGATGCATAAAATGTTCCACAGGATGGCATTAAACATATCTATCTACATAGAGACAATTAGGCGAAGGCACTAGGCCAAATTACAGGTCACACCACAGAGTCACACCATCTTACAGTAAGAGTAACAGAGAGGCTGTAATTGAATAAACACAAAATAAATATGTTTAATTGTCATACCATTGAATATTGAGGGCAAAGTAAAACAAGCGAGTGGCTGGAAAATTACATAGTGCACCTTTAATCTTTATCCTATTAATGTGATTTTTTTTTTTAAGTATTGTAATACATCTTCTTTCAGTACTAGTTTTAGCATCTGTACTTTTGTCAATATAAAAAAAGTGCTAACAAAATAGGTGTATCCACTCCCAAAAGTGTAGTATCAGAAGCTCCTCCACACTTTGGCAGAGACGACAGGAGTGATACGTGCTGATATCTGGCAGATGTGCTCTCAACATTAATTAGTGTTATGCAACAGTGACTAAATAGTGCGCGCGGGCCAGAGCAGCAGATTATCAGGGCTATCTATCTGCGCTTCAGGCTGCGCATCTATAATCTGATGATTCGAGCCCGTTTGTTTCTCCATCTCTAGCCCAGACTCCTGCCTCATTTCCTCTGTTGCCGTTTGCATGCTGAGTACTTAAACACACTGCAAACACAGGCTCGCTGCTGACTGTATGTCTTTCCATAGCGTTCCGAAGGGGGAGATTAAAACAACACACATACAACTACAATTTTCGATGTTGTGAAGTACTAATAATGTATTGTACTCATATTATCACACAAACTTGAGTGTGGTCTTGAAACCAATGCTTTCCATTTTGGTTTAAATGTCCTATATTACATAAAATTAACTCTTGTGAGCTTCAGCCATGTTTGAATGGTATTACCTCACTAAAACATATCTAGAGTTGTGTTTTCTTTTATTCACACATTTGAGTAGCCCTTTATTATTAGTCTGTCTACATCTCCAAAGCTCAAAATGCTGTGGTGTGATGTCATGAAGCGGTAGTTTTCAAGTCAACAGCTACCTTTAACATTTAGTTCAGTAGAGATGGGCAATTCCGTGGCTAACATCATCCAAATGATTCTAGTGAAGGTGTATGAAGTTTAAAAATACAGTGGCGCACTTCCTGTATTACCACATGACATCATAAGGTGGAACAGAGTGTTTTCTGTGTGAGAAAATAACTCTGAAACATGCAGGGTTTATGTGTTAAAGATATGTGAATAAAACAAAACACAACTCCAGGTATGCCTGTGATGAGGAAACAATATTATAACATAGACCAGAAAATATTGTACATTTAAAAAAATTAAATTGGATATAGCAAAACATGTATATTAAATTATGCATAGTATAATATATAAAAAATGTAAATTAATGTAAGTTGTGAGCAATTATAGCCTTTGCTATTTCCACTTAAATTGGGTTAAATGTGACAGCCATCGTAGATAATAGACGAAAGTAAAAGTTGAGTTGTAAAAGTTAAACAATTTCCAGCAACATTTTAAAATGCACTTTGTTTTCTAAGAGGGAGGACTGAAACCACAAAAAGGCCTTTCTGAATAAACTCCAGACAGACTTTCTCACTGTAAACACGGTACTATCCCGTGTACGTCTGCCTCGGATGTGTCAGGTTGTTTTGACCACCCAGGCGACAGAATGTTAGTGGGAGACTCAGTGGCACATTTTAAAGCATTTAAAAATGGTGCACACCCACAATCTGTGCTTCTTACTTTCCTCCGAGCAGTGGGCTGAGAGAGCGATGGAGAGATGACTTGCCATGTTGTTATTTTTTCACTCCCCTCATTGGAAAGAGTGAGTGCATGAGAGGAAAGCTGTGGAGGAAAGACAGGTGGAACAGTTTTTGAGTAAAAGTTCCACAAGGTTCACTGACTCTGCAGGTTTCAGTGGCAAATGTGTAGTTTCGCTTGTGTGCGCGCGTTTCCTGTGAACAGCGACTGTGGTGAGCCTTTGACCTGACAATAGACAATTGAGTTTCATTATGATGTTTTGTGTTGAGACTTTACATTGAAGAAGATGAAGTGCTTTTATAACTTTTCACATGCAACTAGGCCTGCCATGGTAACACATTTTGAAGCATGATGCCAGAGAGAAATATACCTATAAATGATAATGCTGAAACTACTTTATGTTACTGACATAGAGCAGGATAGTCCCAGTAAACATTTTTAAATATACAATATTACTAAAATGCCTGAGCTGCAACAAATAAACAGGAGAATAAACTAATAATTAGCAATAGGGATTTATTCTACCTTTTACAGCTCAAATCTCTTAACTTATTCAATAAAAATTGCCAAAATCTCCCCACTGACAAGAAATTGTCAACATAATAAATATTGAGCCAAAATATTTTTTCCATATTTTGAATGATAAATTGAATATAATAATTATATAGACAGGCTTACATGCAAGTACATGCATGTGATTTTAGTGTTGTGGTGAAGTGATCTGAAAGAAAAATTATGAAAGAAATTGTTCAACTTGTGTGCCAAAATAACACTAGTCGTGTTTCAGTGGTGTACTGCATATGGGTTACAGAGTCATCAGTGGTTAGATCGTTTGTTTTGTTCATAAACTCGAAGAATTGCGGTTCAATCCCAGCTCTGTACTATTGTGTCTTTTGGCAAGACATTTAATCTGCCCTGCATATGAGAGAATATATTCTGTCAGTTAGTGATTGGTAGTGGTAGAGGTTGTTATTGCAGATTGGCAGATGCAGGGCAGCTGCAGCTATAGAAGCTTACCACCACATCTTATGGATCGTGAGTGAATACGTTTTAAAACACCTTGAGCATCTTGAAACCCATCCCAAAACATGCTCTACAAGTAAAATCCTCCTGATGAAGTGCCACAACATCATTGATGGATTGGTAAAGTGCAGAGACATGGTCACAATAAAAAAGTGTACCTTTAAAAGGACATTATAAATTCAATTTGTTACTATAGCTTTGTTGTAATAGTGTACACTGGATGATTGTATTAATGTATGATAATTATGAAATTAAATAAAAATTGACCACCATGTTCTTGTGTTTTGTAGGTTTCGCATTCCCAGAATGGGCCTACAAGCCGGAGTCCAGCCCGGGGTCGAGGCAGATCCAGCTGTGGCACTTCATCCTGGAGCTGCTGCGGAAAGAGGAGTACCATGATGTCATCGCGTGGCAGGGAGACTACGGCGAGTTCGTCATCAAAGACCCAGATGAGGTGGCCCGGCTGTGGGGCGCTCGGAAGTGTAAACCCCAAATGAACTATGACAAGCTCAGCAGGGCGCTCAGGTGAGCCACATGCGTTTACCTAACAGTCAGCTAGAATTAAGTCAACTGCCATTACTTATTCAGAAGGTCACACAAAAATAGGGGATCAAATTTGGCTCTTTCCACAAAAACATATTCCAGATAAGAGAAACAAATGGTAGCTGTTTATGAAACTACCTAAGAAACGTTTACAAAGTTAGGTATTGTTTTGATTTCTTTCTCTTTTTTTTTTTTTGAGTATAATTTTAATGTAAAGTGTCTGTGAAATTGTTTAATTATACAGCATTCGGTTATTCAGCTCCCAGATCAGAAATGCTTTCTTGATGTGATGTCCAATAACCAATAACCCTGCTATAAATAATTTGAATAATCTGTGTACTGGTGAAAACATTTGCATTTCTTGAGGCTAAAAGATTATAGATTTTTTTTTTTTCTCAAATTTTTCTGACAGTTATTTAAACTTTGTCAGATGAAGCAGGCCTTTCAGTCACCCATTTTAACATCAGCATCACTGGTCTGTTGCATTGTTTGGGTGGTTGTTGAATACCCACAGTGTATAAAGCAGCAAACACCTCCATATAAGTGCCTTTAATCCTTAAGCCTCATTACTATTGATGTGCTTGTTGAGAGCTCTGTTGTTGTAAAAGCCCTGACGACAGCTCATGTGTCAAATGAGGTGAGCTATTTACGTTTAGTTTTGTTGACCTGCGCTTTAAAAAACTGGAGAGGAGCCACTGATCAATTTACTTAAAGAGGGAAAGCCTACAGCCACAGGGAGCAGATGAGGACAAAGATTTACCTGTTACAAAAAAGATTACCTTTTGTATATAGGAACCAGAGGATCATCAGCCTCTTTGGCCCATCAGCAAACTCTTAACACCAGCTATATATATGCACTTACTGTGGTCTAAGCTTCCAGTCTAGGGATCATGTGCTATAAATAAACCACAAATATAGCCATTATTCTTTCAATTCAGAAAATCTAAAGTGTACAGTTATATGTGCACACATTAGTGGCACAGTAATGTCCCAGGAGGCTCCCATCTGCAGCAGCAGTTCTCTTAATCTCACCAGTGTAAATGTCATAAGCCTTGTGACTCTTAAATTCAGCAATTTGGTGCATAATGGTGGCTATCTTTAAAGTGCTTATGGTAATCGCCGACTATAGGTGTAAATCATGAGGAAGGGCTCTGCTACAGTTAATCAGATGCTGGTAGCACCCTGGGAGCTGGGAGAAGTTTGCACTAAAGATCTGTGCAGAGCTTAGAGGTCATTGTGTAATAGTACAGATCAGACTGGATTACCAGTGTCTTATTCTTATAATCACAAAATAGTGTGTTCTTATGCAAATGCCATAAGACATCAGTTCCTGGCTCCAGGCTCAACATCAAGCTGCACGTTAGCCAGCGCCTGATATAAAAAATGTCAGAATAATTTTAATTTCAGGATATTGTATTTTTACCCAGGTTTACAAAAATCTGGTTTATTTTATGTCATCTACAAATGTCTGAGATGCCATTAAAATCGAACTTCCTTATTATGGGTCACTATGTTTAGGAATCCAAATGTCATGAAAGCCTGGTCTATTTCTAACACTGTAGTAGCTAAATATGGCCTTGTTAACCACACCAGGGCCAGGTCATAGTCTCTAGCCCATTAGAGATTTAGTGTAAGTGCTATTCGTAGCATCTAGGCACGACTTACTGACTGTCTGAGTAACAGAGCCAAAGACCAGAGATAATAAAAGCAGAGTTCCCAGAAACCTAAACACAGCCACAAACTGTAAGTGTGTTGCTATGTGAGTTTATCTACATGTCAGATATCCTCTCTGATCTTTCAAAGTCCACAAACAGGTCTCTTTAAGTGTTGAAACAGCATTGTCACAAGGAAATGAGGCTACACAGAGCAAGAAGTGATGTTGTTTTAAAAAGGGCCACTCGATAACAAAGGTTGAGGGATCATATGCACTTTTTATATTACATTTTGTATGCATTATCAAGAAACTATATCTGTGTACAGAAATAGAAAATGTATATCTGACCATCATAATGTGTTAAGACAAAACTCAATCTTTAGGTGTAGAGCACCTGATGTTGTCCTGACCTACATCTGTAACTTTTCTGTTGTGGGCCTGCCCCTGCTTTGTTACTATGGTGATGTTATTATTTTGCCTGCATTCTCCCACAATATGGCATAAAACAGGTACATCTGCATGGAGACAAGCTGGTGACAGCACCATGCTAAGTTACAGGTCAGATCTGTGAAAAGACAAGAGGCAATAAGAATACATACTTTTAAAACTATTTTTGAGCAATAAAACACATATAATTTAATAAATGCAGTATTTTTAACTGTAATGCCATAATGTCGAACCTGCCAAGTAATGCAGTGACATTTCCATGGAGGCATCATGTGCGCACACCACATCAGAAAAGTTACGCATTGCACCTTTCAAGTATATGGTAAACCTCTTAAACCCAGTAGCTAACTGCACTAGTTGAATCAAAGATGACATTGATAAGAATGAACCCACTTCTTTAGATGAATGAAGTTCTGAGAGAAAGGAAGCACATGCTCACAGTTCTCCATATGGACCATACTGTTGGAGACTAAGGCCTCTGCCCTTCATATGGAGAAAACCTGGAGCCTGCTAATAATGAAGACCAAAGGCAGCATGTGGCTATTAGCATTCACACAAACACACACATTAACACACACTAACACACACACACTTAATTCTCCTTGTACTCCCAGTCTTTCACTTGAGTATTATTTTTACCTCACTGATCTTATTCTTTCCTGTCTGCCTGGCACATGCTGGAAATTCCCTCCATCGGGCGCTCCACATTGTGTCGGTGTGTGTTGGCCTTCCGTTGAGGGGTCTGTGCGTCATCTCGGACTCCCGCTCCCACACACGCTGTGAAATTCCCACTCATGTAGAGAGGATTACACTCCCACTGCGCACGTGTGTGTCTGTGCACGGGAAGGACAGCATACGAGGCTGTCTTTAGATCATTAAAGAAGCCATATTACTATACAGTTGTGTTTTGTTTCATTCACACATGTTACCGCACACTCTCTGCATGTTTAGGCTGAGTTCTTTTCTCAAACAGGAAACGCTCTGTTCCTCCTTATGATGTAATTTGCTAATACAGGAAGTACTCCATTGTGTTCTTAAACTCCATAAACTTTTGCGAGAATCATTTGGATGATTTCAGCCCTAGAATTGATGATCTCTACAAAAACAAAGGGTAAAAGGTGGCTGTTAACAACCACTTCATGACATCACAAGGTGGGACAGAGGATTTTGAGCTTTGGAGATGTAGACAGTCTAATAATAAAGGCGTACTCAAACATCTGTGAATGAAACAAAACACAACTACAGGTATGTTTTTGATGCGTGAACACCATTGTAACATGGCTTAATAAAGCTCACAGCAGTCAAATTTGCGTAATATAGGACCTTTAGTAATCAGTGCTCCATCATATTCAATAAGAACATACAACTTACAGGTTTTGGGGAAAAAATGAATCCTTGAAAAACATACATTTTAAGTAATATGATTAGATTTATCATTTCATTTTTAGCATCAAAATAGTAAGTAGGACATTTTATTTTCCTTGTATTGATCTTAATTCAGTTGTATGCTGTATTTTATATTTTTAGAGACAAATCGTTTTTAATCTTAATTGCACAAACATAAATAAGACAGACTGTTAACCAGTGCCACCTAACACAACAACACAACAAAAAGTCACATCTATTTGTAAATCTAAATTCTACTCCAAACCACATCCTTTACTAACAGAGTATGTAACTACAGAATCACTTTTACAGCATGTTTGCAGAGATGTGAAGTTAAACTTGAGTTACTGTGACAGTGACACTTTTATTTTAGTTTTTTTTCTTTTTCAGTCTTGCAGTCATAGAAGAATGACAGTGCAATAGTTTTTTCTTCCCTCTTTAGTCTTATCCTGTCCAAATCAGAGAAAACCTGGTGCCAATCAGTGGTATGGTGGCGCAGACTTAATGGGGGTAATCATACTAAAAGGTCCCAGCTCTTGGTCTGTGGGCCCTTGTGCTGCGCGCCATCAGCCCTGGCTGTAACACGGTGGTCATAGGTCAGGGGGACCGCCACGCACAGCTGGCAAAGATTAACAACGTGGCACATGTGCACACACACACACACACAGGGCTGTAAACAAATGCTCCATTGTATGTGCTCTCCTGGCCATGCAGTGCTGGAGCCCCCCACACATGTTTGCTAGTGTGCTGTGAGATGTGATGGACCATTAAAGCTCTACACAACTCAACGATTTAAATATATCTTGATATGTTACTCAGATACACTTAAACTACTTGTTGAAAGTGTATTGTCTCATCTCATCTATCTCTGTTAGCAATGTGATTTTAACAAACAACCACAGCAGCTTGCCCTAACAAGAACAGTGGCTTACCCTGATACTCATTAGATCACCAATTCAAACATGGTCACAAGTGCGATACAGTCTACAGCATCCTGGTGCTCACCTCTGGGCTGGTTTGTAAGTCAGAAGGTCCATGTTCAGATCTGCTCTTTGGGCTTGAGAAGCGTGTCCTGGGGTTGTGTCGTCATATGCCTGTGCTCACTGTGTGCATTGTCTGTCTATTGTTTCACTTTGTGCGCTGGACGTGTTGGTGCTGTATGTGTCATTGTCCCTGAGTGAATGAAGCCTTTATTTCCTGTGGGCAGATTGAACACGCGCTGCGCACATCCACATCATATTGCACCCACAGAGCATGTGAGGCGCCTAATCACACCCTGACCAGTTCCTCCTCTTGTGTATGCAAACACACCAACACGAAAACACACCAACACAAATGTACACACAACACAAATACACTCACAAACACACACATAACCCTCTGCAACTCACATGTAGCATGTGGCATGTCCCCTAATTGTGCCTCAGACTGGCCCTCTTTACACAAACACATCTTTACACAAACATGTTTGATTTCCTGTTCACAGAGTACACACACAGTATCAGACCCAGGGCACAGAGCCCCACACATGTGCCACTGGTGCACACTCACCTGAGAGGCAGCTGCTGGGTCCAGTTCATGTGCGTCCAACAAGAGCCAATAGTGACGAAAGAGGCAGAAAATAAACAGGGGCTCATGGGGAGTATTGTAATCCCAACTTCCTGTCACAGTCAGTGCCTATTTACAGCCCAACAATAGGCTAAGCACAGCTTGTGCACATACACGTCTGTTTGTCAAATGATCTGTAAACCAACACCGTCATATAATACACAAATGGAAAATGTGGGGAATTTAAATGCTATTTTAGGTAACACTCTATTACCTGAATATCATTAGTTAGTCAAGCACTGCTGCCGTTGACCTCTGTAGAACTTCTTTGTTATTGACCTAACAGTCCAGACTCTGAAAAGCGTTTCATAGATTTGAAGTGTAAATGTTCATTATCTTTAACATACTAAACTCTCTCAACTCTAGTCATTATTTTTTCGACCACATAGGTCTGCGTAATCACTGCTTAATCCTCAGCCTACAATCACACAGTAGCTACTGGCTTGTTGGAAATGCCCCCTGTTTCCCTGAAGGCTTTGCTTAAATCCATACTTGCATTGATTGTTCAATCTCCTCCTCTGGTTGAGCAGGGTGAGAGATAATGCTGTGTATGTGTAGGCATCCTGTTGTAATAAGGTGACTGTTGTCAGTCGTGATTGGAGGTGAGTTTGTGCCGGCAGTCAAGTGTGGTGGGCAGCTAAACACTGGCACTCAAAGAATCTCTTTCTTCTCTTTTGAAGTGAGTTCAAATGCTCTTCAAAGACTGTCTGCCCATATGAAGGCACCGGAGGGGGGGGGGGGGCTACACTCACAAGAATGGCTGACCATGTGCTCCACACTGCCTCAGTCACCACGGATACCATTACGCAAAGTAGTTGCTCGCCCCCAAGTATGTATTTCAACATTATCTGTATGAACTACAGGCACACAGCCAAACATAAACCAAATGTGAATAGACTAGGCTCCCCATTCACTCACTAATTACTAATTACTATGAGCTGTGGTAATATAACTAATAATATTCAGCAACTTGCCTATATTTTGGCTAGGTAAATGTGTATTACAATATAGAACTCAATTCCTACAACCAACTGTATGTTGAAGGAGATTATATTCCATTAGGTTCTAAACAAACCAATTAGATCATTTTGGTTGCAAAACATTCATGGCATCTAATACAAATTGGTTTGTTTTTTCCTCTGAACAGTCCTAACTTTTAGTATTGATTAACTCTCTTAAGACTGTTTAATTAAGACTCTTAACAATCATTTGATTTTGGTCCTGTTGTAATTCTTTAACAGTGCCTGTTCTGCCCCCATCTGTCCCCACCTCCTCGGCCCAGTGCAATGCAAGTGTCTTTTTCCCAGAGCAGGGATGATGTGCTGCTGCTCTTAGCTTGGGCATAAAGAGTGTTTTCAACAGTGCGGGTCTGTCCTGTCTCCTCGCTCCCTATGCCCTCACTCCCTGTGCCCTCGCCCTATACCCCTCCAGGGGACAAATGGGAGAGTGAGGATGAAGATGGATGGAGCAGAGGGGAGGGGGGGGGACTTAACAAGAGCAATAGTCTGTTTCCGATGTAAAAAGTAACAGCTTCATAAGTCGCTAAAGTAAAGTGGGGGGAGAGGTACAATTCCCCACATGCACACACTTCTATTTGTGCTACCGTCCCGAGTAATGATGGTCAAAGCAGGGGTTTTTCACTTCCTGTTTATAGGTGACATTTTGAGAGCATTTGACCACTGTTTGTTTTATTTGGATCCCCATTAGCTGTCACCAGTGGTGGAAAGTAACAAAAGTAACAGTAGTTAAGTATTGTGCTTAAGTATAAATTTTAGGCATCTGTATCTAAGTACATTTTAAAGTTGGTACTTTTTCCTTTTTTCACTACATCTGAGAGAAGGTACTCTCTCAGATGTACTCTTTATACTTTCTGTTCCACTACATTTTTAACTGGACTGAAAAGTAAAAGTATTTTTTGTGATTGCTTTAGGCCTGCTGAAAAGGCTGACAGTATTTTTTTTTGCATTTGTGGTTTGAGCACACAAAAATACAATATTCAGTTGTTTCTGTTGAACAAGGTTTATTATAACTCTTTATCAAAATTACTACATATGAAGCTTTTATAAGATCTCAAAAAGTAAAAAGTAAAAGTATTTCATGCAGAGTTTAAGTACGTTTTACATATTAAAGTATATCTTTTCATGTGTTACATTTACTTGAGTATTTATTTGCTTTGATAGCTGTACTTTTACTTAAGTAACAAAAGAGAGTACTTCTTCCAACGCTGGCTGTCGCCAAATTCACGGCTACACTTAAAATTGTTTATTATGAGTTGTTAATTTCTATGGCAACGGTGCTAGTTTTTCATTACTCTGAAATCCATCTCTTCCAATCCACTCCACCTTATTTATACAGGACATTTCATAAACAATCAGTTTCCAAAATGCTTCACAAATACACAGTAACAGTAATAATATAATAATAAAATAAGGGCTAAGATTTAATCATACCAATCTTAAAATAATAAAATCAGTAAAATCATAAAATAGCAATAAATAAATAAAACCAATAAAATAAATTTAAAATAAATAAAAAGACACTCTTGATAGCACACATTCTAAACTACCCATAGTTTTAACACTGACTTGAAAGGAAAGGCCAAAATAGACTCCCACGGTAGAGAATGTCTTTTAACTATGAAACGGCAGATGTTTTGTACCAGTTTATGGTCAATATCTCTGTAATTACTTGGCCTATATTCACATTTTTTGTGTGTGTTGAGTGTGGAGAGAGGAAAATGTTTCATTGTATGGTATCATACTCAGAATGTATGTTTTTCTAGGTATTTGTGAGCAGTAAAACCGCCTGTAATTGAATAAATGTAAGGTAGAGCTTAATGTCATACATACAATCACGGAGAAAAGTATTTGCCAGACCCTCCTCCAGAAAAGTTACATAGTACACCTTTAAAAGTCTTAGAATCATTCAAACGCGTAGATATGGGGTCCATTATACCATACAGTGTTATGTGTAGCATGATGTGTGTATTTGTGTGAAGGCTGGCAGGCTGGGATGTTGAGGGTTATATAAAGTGGATGCGAGTCTAGGGGAAGAAAGCAGAGCACTGTTACATAAAACAGCTTGAGCAGGACAAAGGTTAATAAAAATGGAGTCTCGAACTGTACGCAGTGGCCATGAGAGAAAGGCCATTACATAAAGAGATAAAGATGGGGTGAATTATTGGAGGTTTTGGTGTTACATAAAGCGATGGGCCTATCATGCAAAATGAATGTCAATATATGGGTTGTTTAGGCGTTACACTGTTGCAGCCATTTTCATTTTTTTCCTGTTTCCCCAGTAGAGCTATTAATCTACTACAGATACTAACAATAGTAGAAAAAATGCATAAATTGGATCAACTTGAACATTTCCCGCATAGTTTTAGAATGATCTATATCAGAATATGGTGATACAGAGAAGCTATTATTTGATCTGAAAATTGCATTCTATGTTGAAGAAGTGGACTGTGGTAGGGTTTTTGGATGAGTTCTTTGTTTTTGTTATGTATAATTTCATAATTGAAAAAATATATAATAAAAACAATAATAAATAAATGATAAATACATTTTAAAAATGGGCACAGTTTAAAATTTTAGGATTGTTTAAAAAAAGTGTTTGCATCATTTGAACACTCATAGATATGGTTCATTATACTATACAGTATTATGTGTTATTAAGTGTTGTTGTTTTTTTTTATTATTATTTGTCATTATTGTGATTTTTCCTTTGTATTAAAGTCAAGTTTGAATTTGTTAGTATTGTCGCAACTGGCAACACACTACTCCGCAGTTGCCACTTAAATATCCACTCTTTAATATCCCTATAATGCGGAAGACTCTCGGATTTGTTGGTGGTGGTGACATTGTTAAGTCCAACCTCTGATCTTTTAATTGTTTGTTTATCCCTGTGCTCAACATCACTCTATGTCTTTACAGGCTGATCCATGCGCTTATCTGCAGCATGTGTCTCTCATGCAGACCCCCCTTTCCCCTTTTCCTCTTATAGATCTGCTTTGTGCAAACATATAAGGTTTAGACTTATTATTAATGTGTTGTTTTTTTTTTTTTGTTTTTTTTTTGCAGTTCTTGTTTCATAGCTTTGTTGTTTACTCTAAAATACAAACTACATATTGTGAATGACATCTCCATTGTAAATGTATTAGTGTTTATTTAGTGTTATGAAAGGACACAATGCTTGGTTACAGTTATGTTCTATGTGTTTAACTTTAACTTTGCTTTACAGATATTACTACAACAAGCGGATTCTCCATAAGACCAAAGGAAAGAGGTTCACCTACAAGTTCAACTTCAACAAATTGGTTTTGGTCAACTATCCGTTCATCGACATGGGCTCTGCAGGTAAGCCTTCAGTGTGTAGTGCTCGGTTTGTGCAAGCTCATACATGCCTAGTCTTTACCTAATCCTACAATAGGATAGCAAGATTGCATGGGATTATCTTAGAGACCAGAATTATTTTCAAGAATTCATTTTTTTTCCCTCTTTCTAACATTTACAGGAAGTGCCGTCCCTCAAAGCGCCCCTCCCGTCCCGACTGGCGCAGGTACCCACTTCCGTTTTCCACCTTCGACACCATCAGAAGTTCTCTCTCCGAATGATGACCTGCGCAGCCCGGGTGTGATGTTCAGCTCTGTGGCGAGGAGAGCGCGAGGATCTGTGAGCGACTGCAGTGATGGTACATCTGTGAACTCTGAGATCGAAGAGGGCCCTACTGCTCCGACCGAGGAGAGGACCGCGGAGAGGGGTGTTGGTGGTGGAGGAGGGTACCGTGGCATCATTCACCCACGTTTACCCCATGAGTCTCTGTTCAGAATGTACCCGGGAAACCCAGCAGCGCACCCAAGAGGTCCCTCCAGTCACCGCATCCACCCTGAACCTCTGTCACCCTTCCCTGTGTCCCCTCTGCCTGGCCCAGGAGGAGTGAGTCTCTTAGCCCCCCCTCTCTCTCCAGCACTCTCTATGACACCCACCTCTCACCTACCCTATAGCCCGTCACCCAGTCTGTCCCCTATGCTTGGTTCTCACTTCTCCTTTAACCCCGAGGACATGAAACGCTACCTGAAGGCCACACAGTCAGTCTACAATTATGGTCTGAGTCCCAGGGCATTCATACAGTACCCCAACATCGTTGTCCCACAGCCACACCGACCGGAGAAGTCCAGTCTGGCAACTGAGAGGGGAGGAGGAGAGAGGGGAGGAGGAGAGAGGGGAGGAGAGAGGCACCACCATCCCTCTTTGGGTCACTCTGCTCATCATCTCCCACACCATCCACACTCCGCACACCCATCACACCCTATGCACCACCCGCTGCACCTGGGGGAGGAGCCACCTCACATGTCTCCATTCAAGTTCAAGCTGCAGCCGCCGCCTTTGGGCAGGAAGCAGAGGGACGGGCAGGGCCCGGGGAAGCTCCGTCAGAGCTCTCTGTCCTCCGGCTCTGGGTCCATGTCGTCCACATCAGGCATGGGCTCCTCACTGTCTTTTGGCAGCGACTTGAGTTCGGCCAGCGGCTCTGGTCTGGTCTCAGCCTCATCTTCAACACAGTCACTCAACAGTGCCGGACTCCCAAAAATCAAGGTCAGTAAACATTTGAATTTAAAAACTAAATCTTGATAGCATGATTTCACCTATTTTTGTATTTATATCACGGCTTGTGTTATTGTACAGGTGGAGCCCATCTCTGACATTGAATCAGAAGGAGGTGGAGGTAACTGACATCAGCGATGAAGACCCAGATGAGAGAGATGAGGATTTTGAGTTCTCTTCTCGTTTCTCCAGAGCCCCAAACCACCATCACCATCACCACCACCACCACCTTAGCAATGGCACATCCCATTCCCATCAGCCCCATCCTGATGATGACTTGGATGAAGATGTCTTCAAAGCTCCTGCCCCACCTCCGCCTGGCCTTTTGCCCTTCTTTGCCTCTCAGCACATACAGTCCAATGCCCATCGCGGGCCACCCGTTCTGAAGACTGAACCAGCAGAACCAGAGGACGTGAGCCCACCTCCCCCTCAGCCAGGGTCGACGGGAGCCCCCCAGACCAAGTGCATCCCCCTAAAACTGCGCTTCAAGAGGCGCTGGAGTGAAGACCAGCGCATGGAGGCTTCACAGGAGGAGTCTGATGATAAGAAAGTGCGACCAGAGGAAGAGAGGATACGACAGACTCATTGTAACGGGCGAGTGGAGGTGGAGGAAGACGGGACAGGCAGTGCAGAGGGAGAGAGTCCCCCTCCTCTGGTGTACGAAGGCTCTTTAGTCACTCCTCTGGCCCCACACCGCAGAGTGAGTGCCGAGCTCCACCGTGCCACTGCACAGCTGTCTCTGGAGAATAAAGAGTGCTGATGAAGACCACCGTACACTACTGCCCTCTTCTCTCTCACATACAGGGGTGCGTGAAAGTGAAAGGGCTTCTCTGAGATACCTTTCACTACAGTGAGTTCTAACTCCTGAAAATAGCAGAGAACTACAAGATCCTGCTTAACTACTAACACCTCAAAGACACAGACTTTGTTCCATCACTAGTTCTAGTAGTTTGATCTTCTCTGTGTCAGGACTCCTCTGGTTTGAACCTGTTGGGGAATGAGAGATGCAACTGTCTTTAGCACAGTGACTGGTTCAACCAGAGACCTCTCTCACCTGGCCAGTGAAGCTGCAGATAGCTGCCCCATTTCCTCAAGGGACCCACTCTCTCAAAGCCCACAACCTAGCACTCTCCCTATAGTTTTCCTGGAGAACTGGACTTCAACAAGTGCCTGTATGTACAGTGACACAGAAGAGCACAACACAGGGAGAGAGCTTTGAGTTGTCATTGTCTCTAGAAAATGTAAGAATTGTTAAAAAAAATGTTGGGGCTCATTAGGAACATACATCTCTATAGTTAAAGAGTGGGTGCTTTCTGACTGAACATTTCAGAACTGACTCCTAAATCTGGCTCACTCCACTCAGGGAAGCTTATTGCTGTATGTTCATAGGATTCGTGCACACAAAAAACACATGCGCAAGCAAAAACAAACTCCAGGCAACAGTTTTAAAATACATTTGGTGACGCACAACTTTACAGCACTAAACAGCATAAAGCTATTGTACCTGCTTCTTTCTGCCTCTTCTGTCCTTTTTCTCTCTTGTGGACCACATGTGGAAAATGCAAATTCCACATATAAGAACTGTTTTCCCAGTGGAGTTGTGAGTAAAAACAGAAGAATGATGACTTACTAGAGGTTTAGAGAAATTGCTGCTAACGGGGACAAGTGAGAACAGACAAATATTATAAACTATTCTCTGCATACTGTATATTAAATCTGAAAGTCCCTGCAGCACAAGATAACACCAGCCTCTGCATTCTGTACAAGTAAAAACCAGCAAATGTCCGTACAAAGAGTCCCACATGCACAACACTGCCTTCGGCTCCAGTTCTTTGGTTTCAGCCCTGTCACTGGGTCCTCCAGAGTTTGTGAGCACCTACACGAATTGGAGAAAGCAGGATCAACACTGCCTCTCTATGCCTTGTTTTTATAGCATGTATGAAAACCAAGCTCTAGCAACACACAGACTATACCTTTATATATTTTAAAATGAAGTGATTACAATTTTAAAGCAGCCATAGTGTTTTAAATATATAAAATATTTCAGGAATTTTTAATATTTTGGGGAGATTGCAGCACATTAAAGGTGCGTTGTGTATCTTTTCTGGTAGAGGGTCCTTCACCTGCATGTTTATATGGATATGTGATTGCTCTGCTTAGAATGTTTCTTAGTATGGCATTAAACAGCTCTACCTTACATTTATTACATTCTATAGTTTTATAGTTCAAAAATACTTTTTTTTGACTGTGACTGTGGTTGCCTCTCCACAGATCTGACCTTTTAACTTCTCATTTGGTCTGGTTTGCTCTGCATGACGATAAGAAAGGTTTAATGCCATGAAACATTGAAACATTCCAGCCAAAGCAATAACATCTTCAAGGAGAAAAGCATTTGACGGACCCTCCACCAGAAACGTTAGACAATGCACCTTTGAAGAAAACAAAAAAGCTAAGTGACAATAGCCATAATATTCTGAGCACAAATCATATAAAAATAGGCCAGAACCAGATGCAGGATCTATCTCAGTGGGAAACCTCGTCTTCAATTTAGTTTCTTTGTTTGTAATGTTTTGATGGCCAGTTTCCCTGCAAAATCCGCAGATGCCTTAGACCGACGCAAAGGAACATAGAGTTAATTATTTCGGCAAGACGAGGTACCTCCCCTCAAACTATGCACATGCTCAGAATCCATTATATTTTAGAAGACTTGATTTTTGTTTAGATCTGCCATCAGTTTACTCAGCATTTCAGCCCATATATAGACTGATCAAATACAAATAGAAAATGACTGAATATTCCACACTGAAATCACAAAGAAGCTTGTCTCAACATGCAAAAATCCACCGACATCTCACTAAAGCTTTTGTCTGTAATTGAACTGACAGTTGCCTTATTATTATTACAACTTTTATCCCATTAACTGAAGAGGCACCCTTTCAATCTTTCTCTTCTCTCCCCTTATCCACATCCTGACATAGTTACGATAGACTAACAGCACAAAAAGTCTCTCAAAAGATTGTCGTTCTTAAGATTTCATTTCTATTTCAGCAATTTTTCTTCATCACATCTTAGCTCCTTTGAATTCAACCCAAACCCTAACCGTTTTCTTTTTTCAAACAAATGTAATATAATTAAAATGTGTACATTTTGTGAGCTGACAGAGGAACAACATTGGGAAATTGGAGAAAAAGATAGTGGATTTTATTTACATGCAGATGGGGTAATTTTACCTTTTTTCGTCATGTATTGTAATGTTTTGTTTTATAATGTGTTTTTTTCTCTTGATTGTGTATATTTTTTATCACTTACGGGGGACTGTACCATTTTAAAAGAATTCAAAATTGAGTTGTATTGTTTAATGTGTAAATTTCTCCCCAGTTTTGGTCATTAGTTTTGCCTTGTCTCCCAGAGCAGTTGTATAACACTGAGATGGAGAGATGAAAAGTTAATACCATGATGTAACATTGAATTTCTCTACTTCTGTCATGTTTTTTTTTTTTTTCAAACTTGTAATTAAGATGTAATCAGGGTTATTAAACCAGTTAAAACCCAGTCTGTTAGCAGCTGTTGTTTTTTGTTCTTTCATGTAATAGTATTTTAATAATGATTAGAGTGAGCAACTTGAGGTTTTGGATGCAATACGAGAAAACAAAGATATTAACTTTTAACATTAAGCTTTATTATTGGCAGACTGTCATATGGGGTTCTTCTAGTTTATAGTTTATGTCTGTATTTCACAAATGTAGGTTAGAACTAGTAACAGTTGGTCCTGCGTTTACAAAAAAATTTTGTCATTTCACATAAAGTAGCATTCTTGAGAATGTTTTAATACAAAGAGTGAAGCCACCAATAGATTTCACTGTAGCTTTAAACAGCCTAAGGTCCTTTTCATTATTCAGCAAAATGATTTCTGTGGTAGGATGGTAGCCCTATACTCATGGTAGAGCTGATGGTTGAACAAGTGTCTTTGAGGTTATACATTTAAGAGAAACAGCACGTTGCTTGCGCTGCTGCCTCTGCCCACTCCTCAGACTAGACTACCTTTTAACGTGACGTTGGTAAAGTCCTATTTCTTGAGCGCACTTAGAAACAAACGCACGTTAAGGGCTGCGGGAGGAGAAGTCATGATGGAGAGATGGAGAGCAGTCAATGTTCCTAATGGAACACTTATGCCTTAATGTCAGCCAGCCTCAATATAAGTCATTATAGGCCAACTCTCTGTGAAGTGCCTATGTGAGGCTCACAGGAGACACGTGTGTATTGCTGTAAATTCCTCAATGTTGAAACGCACTGATAAAATGACAAGCTCTACTGACTGTAGGTTACAACCTGTGTCGAGTCACAGCCAAACGGCCCGTTCATCAGATGCATCTAAAGATGTATCTGGCCTACGTGGCGGGGAAAGCTCAAAGCTCACGTACTTTATTTGTTGTTCAGAGCACGTGATGTGAACCTGTTGCTATGATTGTCAGCTTTTGCGTCTTTTGCCAGTAGACCTCTGCCTATTTTTCACGTACGAAAGAACAAAAACAATGCTAATCTTTATAGAAACAGCCAGGGAAAGCAGTTAAGAAGACCAACGTAGAGTTTTAGGTACTGTGGTAATTCATGGCCCCGTTTAGGCCATAGAATGAAATCCAAACAAAAGGCTTATTGGAGTTTATGTGCCTTAAAGCCAAGGCTATATGACAAACTATTAATAGATTTGTGCATGTGTTGGTCCAACACGAAGAACCCACCCAAGTACCATCCCAGGTGCTGCGTTCACGGAACCAGCGCGATGCAGACCACATGAACCACTTGACTTGTTTCACCTGTGCCACATCCCCGCGCTCTCGTTTCCTCCGTGCGCTCGCTTTCGCAGAAATCCTTTGCAGCGTTGTCTACGTGTTCCATATACGACCGCAAACCCTGCACACATGCACACATAACACTGCACAGAGCTTTTGTCAGTGCACATAAAACATCCATCATGACTTACGGTAAAGAGGCATCCACAGCGATGTAGGCCTAGGAGTCGACCACATCCTTTACGCACCAAAGAAGAGCGCGACTGTATGTTTTCAGTGTACAGAAAGAAATCTTTGACTGTGAAGTGGCTACTTTGTGTAATTTAGGCCTAAATCTTTATTTTTTATTTATTTTTAACAATAAAACATAGGCCTGCATTCAAAGATAAGAACAGCAAAAGGCCTACGCGTATAATGAACTGAAACGTATACCCTTTCCCCTCTTTCAATAGTGATTCATCGTTTAAAATAAAAGTTTTCTTTTGTTTCTTTCCCCTCATCATTTTTTCTTGTAGCCTGAATTCCTTTGCTGTAATTTTATAGGACAGAGTTGCCCTCTGCTGTTTTGTTAGTGCAATAATACTAGCAGTAGCCTACAATATTTGTTAAATGTTTACATTGAAAGCGCCTGTTTATTAATTTTCTCATTGTATTATGTCATAATGTGCTGAGTAACCTCGATTCAGTTTGATGATAATTCATTTAACTTTCGCAAATTTAAGTAGACCGGTTAAAGGAAAACTATCTACTGTAGGGCAACTGTTACACCAACACATATACATGGACATTTTTGGGTTTTATATAAAGATTGACTGACTAAGATATAACCATACACTATTTTTAGTCTCTATTACAGTCACATTCTGCCTGAAATTGCTGCCAGTCTATTAGTATTTTCAGTACAGATACTTGGTAATAAATCTGCTAAATGATAAATCTCTGTAAGAAAAGAAACACACATACACACAAACATATATTTATATTATGTATATATATATATATTTTTTTATTTTCGAATTTTCCATTGTCTCTACAAATTCTCATTAAGATTCAAGTCAACACTGTGGCCATGCTGCTTTAAAACATTAATAGACGACTGCTGTTTGGCCACATTTTCAAGACCACTGTTTGGGTTGATGTCAGGCTGATGAAGCCACTCCACTTCTTAAAGAATCTTTTGGCACACTATGGGTTGCCAGTAAAAATCAGATAACCCAATAATAATGATTTGATTTTGGTGTGTTTACACGCCCAAGAAAAAACACCTGGTGACATGTGTCAGTTTGTCTTTAGATTTTCAAGTAACTGTTATAGCCTATTTGACAAACAAAGTAGCCTACTATAACTTTAAAGGCACAGTATGAAACTTTCTGGAGGCAGCATATTGCCTGCATGGAAATAGAACGTTAAAACCATACTTTAGAACAACCTTTTACTATTTTTTTTTCTTTTTTTTTATAGTATAACTATTATTATAACATTTTCTCTTTCACTCTTGTCTTTGCCACAGTTTGCCCTTTTTTGCAGGATTTTCTCAGCTGAGAACAATCAGATAGCCTATAACTGTTTACATGACATTTCAATAATCAATAATAAATCAGAAATCAGATCATGAACAGATTTTAGGTGTGCATGTAAACACAGTCTCTTTCAGGATCTGAATCTTTCTAACTGACTGTGTCCTCATAACTGACCCCACTATCACTGTCTGTTGAGGTTTCTTCAATGTAACCATGTGGCGGACTCATGAACAGCTGAGGCGTGTTGAGTTTCTGTGAAGAAGAATACAGTCAGAGAGCACAAGGGCCCTCTGTTTTCCACATATATAAGCCTGTGCACATCAGCCTTCTGCAGCACCAAGATGAGGATTGTGCAGCTCAGATCTCAAAGAGGAGGAGCCAACATCACATCACGTCATATAAAGAGTATTATCTCAGCTCAGAGCTCTAGACCAATCTGCTCTAATTCCACAACAATCTGAAGGCCTGCAGTGAAGCACTTGCCAAAACAACGATTTCTTCATCTAACTTATAATATTTACAATGGCATTACTACTTTACAAAATAGCCAACTTAGACATTTTTTTTTTTTAATATTGTAATAGGGGTGTAATAAATATTTCACTGCACATTTCTAATGACATATGCCAGTCCAGAACATTATATTCAATATGTGGTAGTGTCATTTGCTCATATTGTAATTTACGTGAGCCTCATACACTAATTTGTGGTCATCTGTAGCATGATTTAAGTTTGCAGAAAGGTCAAACAAAAGGTTAAAGATCGTGCTGCAAAGAATTACATCTTTTAACAGAGCGTGAGGTAAAACAGAGTTGAATAGTTATGGAAGTTCATCTTTCACTGATTCCCATTTCCCCCTAAAGTATTATAGGTGAAACATGGGTTCAGTTGTTAAAATGCACAAATGCAAATGTTGAGAAATAAATAAATGAATGTAAGTACCAAAAATATGTACTCTGATTATTAATTTAAAGTAACTCTATTCTAGTACAGTTACCTTTTCATTTGATGGTATTCAGAATACAGTTACTTCCCTAAATTAAAAGGAAAACATGGCAGTACTTCATATGAAAATTTTTGCTTTGAATTGCATGGTGGGAAAACAGATTTTGCATTGTGTGTATTTGTGATTTTTGTGTCTAATTACACATAAATTAATGCAAAATAACAAGTTGTCTGTAATTATATGTCATGTTTTTATACTATAATATAATGCAACTCAATGTAAAAGTACCCCAAGTATTCAGAATGCAGTACCCTGATCCAACTATGTATCAGAATATGCTACAAAATACAATTTAATGTAGGTATTCAGTATTCTGAAACTAAATAAAATTTCAGTGTATCCTTCCTGTCACTGTATGTGTATTCACATACACCACCACTGTGACCAAAGGTAGACATGCAAACTTTCAAACACTCTCTACTTTAACACAGTATAGAAAAACTTAGCTGATTAACTAGTAAGCTGTTTTCTTTCTCCATAACAAACTCTGCCTTTAGACAGTGGAGCTCAGCAGGAGAGGGGAGACTGAGGTGCTTGACTGACAGAGTAGTGAAGAGCACACACAGAGGAGGTCAGGGGGAGGGTCAAAGTTCAGGCTTCTGTGGAGATGAGGAGAGGTTACCGGAGGACAGACTGAAGGACTGGCTTATTACACTGGGAAGGCTTCTTACATCATTTCTCTACTGTTTCATAACACATTGGACATAAAAGGGCATAGGCTACTGCAGACCTGTTTAGTTCTTCAACTATTTTGATTGAAACACACAGAAGCCAATCAAGAAAGATGCTAAATTCCTGATTATATACCATTAAAGCCTGTTGTCCATATAGGCCTCGGCTGCAATTCCTCATAACTACAACTAGATGTCCCCCTATCAACATTTTTCAGTTCTGTGTTCTCACTACGGCTCACATCACATGGGTTTTCACTGGGATACTCTTGCTAAATACACATTTCGTAATCAGCCAATCACACTGCTTTCTTTTCAGCACTGTTTTTTTCCTAATAAGTAGTTGCGTCACGTGACATGGTGAAGGCATCACATCCATCGGGAGATGGCGCTGTTTGTGTGGGAATTTTTCCACAGATGCCTCAGCATGAGTCTGGGTTTCTACTACACAGCACGCAAGATTATGTAATGTTTACTATTATGACACTTTCTTGTGCAAGGTGATGTGTATTTGTTAGTAAAGCCACATGTCATTGATTCATAGACCGGCTGTGCCCAGTGCCAACCTCAAACCTGCCATCGCCTCAAAATTGTTCATCTTTAATAGACATGGTCCTCAACACTCCGGTTTGTCTCCAATGCGAGTAACTACGCGGGGTTAACCGAGTTTACAGCAGGCCACGCCCCTTCAGTCCAGCTGGTGGCAACACTCGTGATGACATCACCTGCGATGGCGCCTATTGGCTCGGAGACGATGTCCACGTGCCCAATCGCCTACTGCTGTGGTGACGGCAGCGGAGAGCGGCCCGTTTAGTTGTACGGGAGCGGGCGGAGCCGTGAGGGTACCCACGTCACCGGGAGCTCCAGAAGGCGCTCTGATTGGACAAGAGCGCTGAAAGTGAGCGTCTGTTGCTGAGAGAAAAGACTGAGGACAAGAGCAGTTATCAAAAGGTACTAAGGCTCTTTTCTGTGTTGCACGACAATTTGCAAACACACACAACGCACGTCTATGCTTGTAAATCAGATGCCAGATCTGATTGTTATATTCTGTAACAATCATGAAATACATGAACATTTCACTGCTTCTCTCATTAATGCGACAAGAAGTAATATCCACACTGAAGAACTTTCTTTTAGACCGATTTGTGTCTGCAGAACTGGAGGGGTTGATGCATTAACACGGTCTGCCTAAGGATGGCACTTGTGCTGTCAATTATGGTAAACATACTTTTGGCTGGAGGGAGGGGACATTTGTGCCTTTTTATTGGCCCTGTGATATTTGCTCCCACCCCTAGACCCTCCTCCATGCTGTTCCTATGGTTCCCAAAGCTCTTATTGGGTACTGTAAAGTTTGGGAGAGTGGACTGGCCTGGCTCAGCATCAGCGCTCCCATTGGCTGAACCTCGCTGTCTGTCAAGCGGACTCTGACAGCCTGCCCCGCCCACTTTCCCGGGCTCACGAAGCTGATTGGCTACTGTACCTGTCAGCTACCTCTGATTGGTCAGCGATGCCAGCTGTTAGTAGTTCATTCACCATTTTGTGACTGTAGTGGAAAAGAAGAGCGATAGTTTTTTGTATCCTTGTTTGAGTTTCTGAGGGGGAAAGACATGTTTTGTGGAGGGAAAGTTAAGTGTGATCCCTCACTGCACAGTGGTGAAAACCGACAGCAAAAGGATGTTACGAAGAGTTGTGCGAACCTTCTCGACAAGAAAATAGGACTATAAATCTTTGCCTGGCGAAAGGACAAACAGCTTGGTAAGTTGTGACCAAGTTAGCAGAACACAGTAGAGACTAACCAAAAAAGATTTTAATTTCAGCAAAATGCAATTAGCACGAGCATAGGCTTGTTACCGTCCGAAGGAGCGGATGACACGGTTGTAACGCCGAGGAAGAGCCGAGAAAGAAAGAGAAGGGAGGGGTGTAACAGCCTAAAAACTTTCTCAAATGTTGTACTGCAGTCCCAGTGTCGAAAAATCGTCATGGTCTAACTTCTCGAATGATATAAAATGCAGGTGGATAACACTAAACTCTTCCCTTGACCTTACTTGTCGAGTTTTTGCGTCGAGCGGCGATAGCGTAGTAAAACAATCGTCCTATTTGCAGCATTGCAGCCCTAATGTTGGCTACAGGGCACAATACTCCACCTTGTTATCGAAACGTGACTTTCCGACATTAGTAACGCATTATAGCGTACGTACTCAATCGGCTGTGTGTGTGTTCAGACGACGTCTTTATGTGAGCTCTCGTAGTCTGACACTGCTGCGTACTACGACTACTACCGCCACTACAATCGTTATAGGGCTGCTTACTAGAGCGAATCATCCAAACGTAAAGGATGCGTCTTATTATGTTGAAAAGATCTTGGACGTGTGTAATTTCTTTAACCTTATTGAAAAGAGAAAACGCTTTGGAAACAGTTTGGGTTGATTACTTGCTTCGAAATATTTGCATAGTAGGTGGTAGTTTATGAAGGAAATTTAGGCCTGACTATTTAGAAAAATCAAACGTCACTTGAAACCGGTTGTTTGTGTTTATTTCCGAGGCTCGTGCGCAGAGCAGACCGGCGGACTGCCTGAAGTCACATCACTCATGTGACATTGTGTAGCGCCTCTCATAGTACTCACACAGACACAAGGCAAAGAAGCCGGGAAAGCATTTGGACTTTTCTCGGCTTTTCCCTCATTGCCACTCCACTTTGTGCAGCGCAGTCCTGCGCTCCCACCGTGGCACCCCTGACATCTGACTGGGCAATAGGAAAGTGTTTTGTCACGCTTGTCCTGGAGTAGAGCTGTTATAAGCCCTTGTATATAGTATTGTTTGTGCCATTTGAACTTCAAGTGCCTTCACCTGCTTTGCAGATAAACAGTGCCGTGCATGGTCAGATCTTCATTATTGCACCTGTGTACACAGAGGACAAATCTCTAAAGGTGTAGACTTCTCATGGAGCGGTCATTGATGTGGAATTGGCAGTTCTGCCAAAACAAGCTCTCCTCTGATCTATGCCAGAGCCTTCTGAGAGGACACACTTTTTGTCCCTCCATTAGTCTTTTATATGTAAGACTTAATATGTAGCCTGTAGTTATTATGCCAACGACTCACTAGACAGTGCCAGTATTTTGAATACGTCACAATGGATGCTCTCAACAACAAGCACTCTCATACACTTAACAGCTCGCTCTGTCGCTACACCGAAACACTCTAAATATTTTCCATTCTTGGTTCTTGATTCTTGTTGTCTGTGTGCAGAAATCCCCCTCATTCGTGAAAGAGTCATGTCAGTGTGAGAGGAACTCATTGTATGATCTGCAGTTTCATGTCTGTGTTCTCCCTGGTGACCCACTTAGGGGCACAATCACCCTGCCAGGTCCACATGAGTGTACACGGGTCCTTCTGTCATACCAGTGCATGTTCTGTTCAGGGCAGCCTTCATCTGGCTGCAACCACAGGCCCACACAGAATGAACATAAAATCATAAAATTACAAATTTCTTTGACTGAACAGACAACACTGCATTTTGTCCAATGTGTTGTTGTATACAAAAAGACCCAATGACACCTATAGACAGATGCACCGTGTGCCATAAGAAGCGCCTGCATGCTTCCCCTGCTCGCAGACTACATTATGTGTCATGTTGCGGAGGGGCAAGATCTAGAATCTTCTGGATTCTTTATGACTGAAGAATAAAAAACTATCTACATTACAAGTTTACTTTTGGGAGGAATTGCCTCAACAAATTACCCTTTTGAGGTCTATTTTACAAATATCTTGCTGAATGGCAGCATAAGGCATCACACACACATCTAAAGTCTATCTAAATTTCTATGACAGAAGCTAGTTTAATGCATTTAGTGTTTTCACCTTAGAGTGAGGAAGGTGAATGCTGTTTATGATGTGGTTTATGATATAAAACAGAGGTCCATTTTTGTATGCAGAAAATATGCGCAGTTTGCATAGTGCATGTGTGTGTATGTAAAGTTTAATGTTGTCATGAATGGCAGGGATGTTGGGTGTCATACACAGTTTTTTAAATAGTACAAACCTGTTTTTGCAGCCGATGGAGTATGGTTCAATGACTCTGAATGATACGATGGCATCGGGCACTTCAGAAGGCAGTTGGAAGGTGAAGACGTTACGACTCAACTATACTCATCTGCATCTAGCAGACAATATACTATATTTTAAAATACACTTTTCAATTCACCGTGGCCCTAAAATTTAGCTTTTAACTCCAGCATCCAATATGTTTATTTTCCAACTTGAGAGAAATGCACTGCCCATATTTTTTGTTCTCTTGTTGATAAAAGCAAGAGTCTGAATGTGCAGTATTTGATCTTTTTGAGGATCATGCAGACTCAAGCTTTTTTATTTTAGATGTTTTATTTTATTTTAAACAGTATTATAGTCATTAACAAAATAATGACGTCCATAATAGACTGTATTAAGCCAACAGTTTACACACATATTCCCCACTGGGTTATGGGCTGGAGCCTGGAGCATGTTCTAGAGGCCTTCAGCATGACCAAACACATTTTTCCAGGCTCAGCTCAGATCCTCTGCATGTCTTTAGTCAGCGGCCTGACTCCTTCCTGTCTTTTTTCTATAACACCACAGCACTAGGTCTCAGGGCCGTCCACACTGGCCAAGGACTGGTATGTAGAACATTCCAGCGCATTTTATTTCTTTATTTGTGCTTTTTCTGCTTTAAGACTGAACACTGTTATAAGGACACTATAGAGTACTTCTTTGTCCTTACAATTTCAGATTTGTGCTTTAGTTTGTTTTTATTTTCAATCTTATCAAGTGTGATTTCCCTATAGTTAGAAATTCTCTTGGGTGTTTTCAGCATGTTTGATTATACAAAATTGAGATAGTGACTAAAAAGTGTAAAAAGAGTGAGGGGAGAGAGGGAAGGCTAGTGCGTGCGGAAGACTGGAAATTCCCAAAGAGCACCGTCCACACACAGGCCGTATCTGAGCACACAGACACACACTTGTGCTGGGCTGTCTTGCTGCTGCTCGTCTGGGTGACCTCAACAGAACCGTCTCTGATCAAAGTCCATTTAAATGCAGCTTAGCGTGGCTTTCCCGAGCTAAAAACACAACACATGAGGTCTGTACTACGTAGCGTGGGAAGCTACTCGATCACCGCATGTTGAGAACAGCGTCTAGATAAGGGACTGTGTAAGAACATTTTTATTCTGCATGTGTTACATCAAAGTTCGAAAGTGAAACTGTGACTCTGTGATGGATGGTCTCATTGCATTGTGCTTTACAAGATACCCAGTGCATTATACAGTTCATAATTACAGTCAGTCATTTAGTTAAAGACGTGGGTTTTTAAAGATAAATATCTTTAAAAATGAAGAAGGTTAGTGTGGATGAGTCTCTGATGTAACGTTTTGAAGAGTACGTCCTGTATCGTTCAGATTATGAATGTTCCTGGATCAGACGGATTTTTTCACTGTTTTTCTTGGACAGACTAATCATATGTGAACTCATAAATGCACAAAGGTTCTGATTTGTTTATTTTTTAAAATTACTTTACCGGTAATACAACACTGTGGTGATTGGGAGGGATAGATTTGTCTTCAGACTGAAACAATTTCATAGGAATAGCATACAAAAAAGTTTTAATTCTTACTTTACTACTTAAAATCTTATGCTATTTTCAGACATTACAAGGTCCAAGTAGTACTGTATTCTGCTGTCGTATCTGTTGGTTCCAATGCATTTCCTAATAATATAGCAATTTTCTCAATTACAAATTTATTTCTTGCTTAATTGTCGTGGTCAGAATCTCATAGTCTTCACACCACTAATCCACTAATATTGCTGTTTTGATGTTTATCACTCCAAAACTGAAATGGCAAATACAGTTGTTTCATATTGAGACAATACCTAATTTTTAAAATATTGTACTTCAACCTTCACAACTGCTTCTTGACTTTTAGGGGCAATTTCACACTCTAGTGGTCTTTTCAACACTTCAAACATTTTATACAAGCCACCTGTATGAATAAGTACTGCTACATCAATGATTACATATTTTCTATTTCTGTTTTTCAGCTTCCAAAGGAGGACAAAAGGAGTGAAAGCCAAGCAAGGAAAGAAAATAGGAAGACTGACTATAAAGGAGTGCCTTAAAAGTGAGAGAAGAAGAAGGAGCGCAATTAAAAGCACTTTGTAAAAGGGGAAAGAAGACATGAGACCAATAAAGAAACCGAGAGGCCGGGGAAGGAAAAGGGGGGGCCCGCATTCTCCCCCAGAGAAGGACGCCAAAAGATTCAGGAGGGAAACACTTGTCAAGACAACAGAGCACACAACCAAAACACTGACTAGTCCTTCCCCACGCAAACACCCTCCGCCCACTGCCTACACCACTAACAAGGAGCCAATGATAAGCAGCAGTGCACCCTCAGTAGGGCCTGTTGCACTGAGGCAACCTGTGGAGTCGGCTGAGAAGGACACAAAGAAGCCACAAGAAAAGATGGAGAAGAAAACGATAGGCACAAATGGAACTAGCACTACGTCTGCAGACAGCGGAGCATCTTCTACCTCTCCTTCAGCACCCGTCTCCACAGCCATGCCCCCGGCAGCCACAAATCACAGCCACGTCACCACCTCGGTCTCAAGTAGGAAAACAGCCACTTTCAAAGCCCGCATCCCCAAGAAGAAATATACGTATGAGCACTTTGTGAATAACACCCTGACTGCCATTAATGCCCCCAGCCCTGCTTCTTCTCAAAACAACTGCAATATCAACAACAAAGTCAGTGACAGTATACACAAGATTAATAATATCAAGCATAGTAACATTAATAGTGATAGTAATGATAAAAGCTCTATTAGTAACATGGTCAATAGTAGCAGGAATAATTTTGTCAATAACATTTGCAGTAAAAGTAATACTTGCTCAGGTAATACCCCCCCACAGCTAACTGTGGGTAGTAATGCAACACAAGTGAATCACTTTGTCCCCATGGACAGTAGGGCTCTCAGGACAGAGGGCTCCCAAAAGGAGCCCATAGAGAATGAGTCTGAAGGAACCCCAAACTCAGTGCACTCCTCGTCCACTGACACAGCCAGTGAGCACTCAGCTGAGCTGGACACGGTGGAGACAACAGGACCAAATCATTCAAGTCATTCGAACTTTCCCACCCCCCTCTGCCACTCATCACCCAAGGAGGTCAGCCATTCAGATGGACTAGCCCAAGCTCTGGCCAAAGGCATGAAAAACCAGAGGGTTCTTGCGTGTCAGATAAAGAGGAGTGTGGAGGGTGGGGTGAATGGGAGGGACTTGGGTGCACTGTCTCGTGTGTTTAAGCCTGGTGTGGTGCGCTGTGTGAGTGGAGGGACTGTTGAAGTCCAACTCCAAGGAGAAGAGAGACTTGTTCAATACCCTTTCCATGGTGATACTGTGATTACATCATCGCCTGAGGCCAAGAACACTGTGGAGTTAATTTTGGACGCCCCCCCACCTGGCATGGCACCTGTGGCTGTGGGAACACAAGTGTGTGTGCCATTTGGTGGAGAAGAGGGAGGGCCTCTGTTTTATAGGGAAGGGATTGTGACGCAGGTGGACCCCCACCCTGGGGTGTCGTTCCCCTACCGGGTGCTCCTCGATGAACAGATTCTGGACAGGCAGAAGGCTGGCAAAGAGAATGAAAGACTGGCCGTTTGGGTGTCTCGACAGAGCCTGAGACTGCTCACCCCTCCCTGGGAAGTTCCAAATTTGGACGGTGGTAGGGCAAAGGAGAGGGAGCGAGAAAGAGAAAGGGAGGAGAGGGAGCGGAGGGAGGAGATGGAAGTAGAGAGGGAGGTGTGTCAGTTGAGTAAGGGAATGGGGGTGCTTGGAGGAGGGGGCAGGCTAGGTCATAGTTTTTCACACCAGGGGACCACTGCGGGGCGTCCTTATGTTAATGTAAATCCACCATCCCACTCTGCTACAGGGACGCCCAGCATAGGGGCCAGCCCTGACATCAGAGTGCAGGCAGAGAGACAAAAACAGGCAAACATTCCTGAAGAGGATGTGGAACTTTCACAGTTAAATATGGGCCTGACTGTTACTCCCAGAACAGCGGCTGGCACCCCTCATAACACAAATCTCCTGTCTAAGAGTAGTGGCTACCCCTCCTCCTCCCCTCACCTCACAGTGGTGCGTGGTCTGGGGCCTCCTCACCTGTCAGCCCTTACTGGCCCTCAGCCACCCCCTTCTCCAGCCTTATTAACCTCTGATATGAGCAATCCCACTTCAAACCTACCTCCATCCAAAACCACTCCATCCCAAACCCCTACTCCCACTTCCTCTACCTCCTCTCGTTCCAGGACACCCCTGTCATTAGCACAACAGAAGTACAAAAAGGGTGATGTGGTGTGTACCCCCAATGGTATCCGTAAGAAGTTTAATGGAAAGCAGTGGCGGAGGCTGTGCTCCAGGGAGGGCTGCATGAAGGAGTCCCAGCGCAGAGGCTACTGCTCCAGACACCTGTCGATGAGGACCAAAGAGATGGAGGCGGCTGGAGGCGAGCGGGGCGGGGGCAGCAGCTCAGGTACCCTCACCCCGTCTGACCTGAGAGGCAGAGCTAGCAGTGAGCTGGACTGGGATGACACGTCAAGAGAGGGCAGTGAGACGAGCAGCAGAGGAGACTCCAGACCCCGTCTAGTGCTGCCCTCACTTGTCCCACATGACCTGTCCTCACGCTTCGACTTCGATGAGTGCGAGGCAGCCACCATGCTTGTGTCTTTGGGGAGTTCCCGTTCAGGGACACCATCTTTTTCTCCAATCTCCAACCAGTCTCCCTTCTCCCCGGCCCCCTCTCCCTCCCCTTCTCCTTCTCTTTTTGGTTTTAGGCCAGCTAACTTCTCCCCCATTACAGCCTCCCCAGTGCTGTCACATCGTAGGCACAGGCAGCTCAGCGGGGCAGGGGTAGCAGGGGGGACTGGGGGCTCTAAAGCTGCCCATGGGGGAGGAGAAAAAGAGAGACACACCTCTGGCCACATTCAGCCGTCCTTCCAAAACAACCTAACTTTTACTGTCCCTATGAGCCCTAGCAAACGGAAGGCTGACACTCCTGCCCCAGCTCCCCTCATCTCCCACCATCATGACTACACTCCCAAGACAGAGCAAGAGCAGGGTGAGCTCAGCGGCTCCTTCAGGGTCCTTTCACCAGCTGCACATTCTCGTACGCATACTCCCACTTTCTCCCGGCCCCGGGGAGTCACTACACCCTCCTCTAGTAGACCCCCGTCTGCTGCTGCTGTCTCCCCTCCTCCTCTGCTAGTCTCTCCCACCCCTCCCTCTCCGCTGCCACCTGACGGAGGGTCTCGCCGCATGGTGCCAGTTACCCAGCAAGCTTTGCGTGACTCCCCTGTTATTGTCAGAAATCCTGAAGTCCCTCTGGCGAAATTTACAGAGTGCCCTGTTGGACGAGGAGGGTCTGAGGCAGGCACTGACTCTTCCACAGACACTGCTGTGACTCTTACCCCTCAACCCATCTCTGGCCTCCAGGTGCCTGTCCCCATAAACGCCGCCTCAGGCAGTGTTCCCAATGGCACAGTGATTCTGCGGAGCCCGGCCCAGACTCTGGTGCTCGTGTCCCCTTCACCCTCTGCTCTGCCCACCACTGACACCCCTGCTGCCCCCCTGCAGGCCCTGTCAGTGACCGTCAGCACAACAGTGGCTCCCACTGCGAACAGCACAGACAGCTGTGGGGATGGAGGGGAGAACAGGGAGAGTGGGTTTGGAGGGGAGCTCCAGCAGCCTGTTCCCTGCCACCCGTCTCCCACTGCACTCCTGCCCCTCATCCTGCCAGCAGAAAGCCTTCACCCTGCCCCTCGCAAAGACATCATTATGGGACGCCCTGGCACAGGTGAGTGGCTCCACACACACTCATATTTAGGATAGAATTCTTTTAGCAAACATTGTCACAAAAAAGATAATCCTTCATTAGCTTGATAAATTAGTAAAGCTTCTATATCAGCAGTTTGTGATGAATAATGTCACTGAGTGTGTGTTGTGCTGCGTACACTGTTACACTTGAGAGTGTAACACTTTCTTACCCTATAATACAGTTCTTATAAATATCCCTTTGTAATTTTATTAAACATTTTATAAAGCTTGTCAAACTTTTGAAATATAACAAACATAAGTAATAAATCTGTGGTCACTAGTCAACTGCTTAGAGTGTTTAACTTTATTTTTACTATGCTAAGAGCCAGTTCCAAAAACAAATCTTATGTTAGTTTGTGAACAGACTCTTAAAAAGAAAATCATGCAACGGGCTGCAAAAATATATATTTTTTTATTCAATGCTTTGTTTTTTTTTCAGGGGGACACACACCACACCACACACACACACACACACACACACACACACACACACACACACACACACACACACACACCGTCAATAATTCCAGCTAATGAGCAAATGTTATAATATATATTATATATATAACATATGTTATAGATGTTATAAAAATAACAGTTTTGCTAAGATAATACATTAACTAACGCATGAGTTCATGTTTAACCATCTCATTAATTTAGATGCAGCTGTGTGAAGTGTGTATAGGTAATGTCCCTCTTCCTCAGAAATAAGTCTTTGGGTCACGACTGGTGTGTTTGTGACTGTCCCAGGTTCCTCCCTCAATTCATTTACATTTTGTTCTATTTAACCCATCATAAAATAACATCTGAAAACATACATCTTATAAACAGGCATGTTTTGTGCAACTCAGCTTTTCCTAATGTTACAGATGAGGAAGAACAAACAGAATGTTATAGTAGCTTTGAGAAAACCCAAACAAAAAAAAAAAAATAATTTATTAACTTACTGTTAATGCTATGTTATGTTTTGTTTTTCAGTTATTTTTTTATCTATATAAAACACTGTTGTTGTGCACACAATATCAACTTCATAATCATGTAGAATTCTGCGCAGTAGCTGCCACACCACAGGACAAACAGGCACATGTATAAAGAGAGAAATTTCCTCGTCTTTAGGATGGTGGAGTTTATGTCACACCACAACAACAAAGATGACAGGTGTAAAGAAAGAATACAATTGTTTAAAAATAATATACTCATTCATTACTATTTCTGTAGGCTTAATTTGTAGAAACATGTTAAGGACGTTTCAAGGTGTGGACCTACACCGAGGAGAAAAACAGTGTAGTGAATATGTACACAGCTTGTAAAATAGGCTGTAGTTTAATTAAAATTAAATTTATAGTTTCAAAGTATAGTTAGTAATTGTCTGTATTTAGTAATTAATTGAATTTATTATAACAATTGAAGTGAAAAAATAAAATAAATCAAAACATTAAAAAACAAAAAAGGTCAGGTCTTGTGAGAAGTTGTCAAATTATATTAAGTATGAATACAAAAATTGTGTTATGTAGTACATGCCACGTACTATTTAAAGGCAAGAATAATTTAGTTAGTTAGTTAGTGTGTATATGGAAAAGATAGAGTGTACATGTATATGTATATTGAATATGTGTTGACTTCAGTGATACTAAGTTCTAAGTTTAACAAACAGAAACTTTTTGGGATAAGTGGGAGCCAGTGCAAGGCCATGCGTTTGAAAATTGTTTTAAAGCAGTCTCCTCCTCCTCCTCCATTAACTGTGCACAGATATAGCCACCGGCTGAGTTTTGTAGGTTTCACTGTTTCGTGTGGGCGTGTGAAGCTGTTTGTTTTTCTGTGTGGGAAAGAGGACGTACTATGCATCATGTGTACCATTGAGACTGTATTATTCACCATCAGCTGCCCGAGCCCACCTCTCTGCTGTGCTACATATGGACACATAGGAAGAGTTGGCGGAGTTCACAGCACCCTGACCATACGCTCCTATGTGTGTGTGAGAACGTATATCCAGCCTATAGCCAGTTTATAGCCCGTGTATGGCCATGGTGTGACAGAGAAAGTGGACAGGGACGGCAGCTCTGTCATTTTGACTGTACGGTCCCTCCTCACGCTTCCTTTCTGCAGAGGAGAGGACGCTGAGTGAATGAATACCATGGCTTTATGTGTGAGAGAGTGTGTGTCTGTGCATTTAGCTGAAAATGTGTTTGGGCTTATGTGGGTGTTCTCTGCGGCGGGAGATGGGGCGTGCGAGATTTGGAAATACTCAGGGGAGAGAGTGAAATAGGAGGAGGAAACTCCATGTGTACGTCAAAGTTGTGTGTAATATATTTGTGATTTACTGATTGAGGAGGTGTAGATGTAGAATATGCAACACTTAGAATATGTCATCCAGTGCTCTTTTTAAGGCTTACAAAAACTGGAAAATCACTTAACAACATGGGAAATTTGAAGTCAGAGAGGACTTTTATAATGCCAGTAACAACAATTCCTGGCCAAATGACTGATTTCACTAAAAGGCTGAGACATGCTTTTGTTCGAACTGTGTCCTTAAAATAATTATAAATAATAAATTAAAATTGGATCTAAATGTTACATATAGCAGCACCAAAATGATGTGGCTTTTACAATCAGTGATTGGTACTAAGTCCTCAGAATGTGTAAGAGATGCACAAGTTGAGAAAGTTAGTGTAAGTGTGTAGGTACAGGGCATAAAAGTTATGGGACAAGGTGAAGGATGAGAGGGCCTGTGTTGTCACGTGTGCAGTGTGTGTGCTGGAAACAGAGTAACTAAGCGTCAATCATTGAGGACCGGATATGATGTGTGAGCGCCAAACGTCTGTTGCTATGGTAACAAAGCAAACATCATAGAGAGGTTGCCTGTATATAACACAGAATATTCACAAATAGAAGTAGCGTAGCAGCTTTCCTCTTGTGTGTGTTTGTGCATGTGTTAGACAGAGGAACTCCTACTTGCAGGGTTACTCCATGCTCTAAGAAACTAGAGCAGTCATGTATGGTGATTAGTTATGCATTATTTACACTGTATGTGAAGTTTGGAAACCAAACATTATTCAAATGAAACCAGCGTTATCTCCTTACTATGTTTTGAAAAAAAACCAAAAAAAAAAACACCTTTTGCATCCTTAAAACTGTTGTGTTATAATCCAGGATCTTAAGTTTGATTTTTGTAACAGATTCCAACTATTTTAACTTGCTTGGTAAATGAAGATTAGATACATGATTTCACCATTCATACTATACTCCAAAAAAGTACTGATGCGCACACTTTTCCACTGGGATGAGTATTTTTCTACTTCTTCGCAGTGTGTCGCTCCCTCTCATCTCTCTTCCATATTGCATTGTTTTAACAAAAATTATGACACGTTAGGATTAACCCTTCGTGTCATCGCAATGCAGTGGTATGGCTCTACAACGCTCTGCTCGGTTCTCTTGATCCTGGTCTACCCGGATACGGATACCCGGGAATAACATCCTCACTCCCTCCCGCCCCTGCTTTACGTAACTCTTAAAGCTCTGCATATCCTTCCTGACCATGGCAACAACCACATCTGGATCACACAGCTCCACAGACTGGCATCAAACATGTCTAGTGGACTACTTTTTACCACAGAAGTCATGGGGAGCTATACTTCTGTGTGTCTGCTCAGATATGCACTTTTAAGCTCTAGTGGAGTTTGATATTTAGTTACTTTTTGATCTGATAACAAATTTTCATTACATGCTTGCCAACACATTATTTTATATGGTTGTAAACGCAAGCATATTTGTTGCATCCATTGTGTGTTTGCATCACCCCTTGGACCCATTTATGAAATAATTACAGTTATATTAAAGCTGATTAAATGTCAAACTTTTTGTGTATGATTTTAAGTGTAGTATAAAGAAAGCAATATTTGCCAGTTTCTAGTACTTTTGCTCTGGATTTTGGTGAGGTTTCCAGTAGATTTTTTCTGCAGGCTAGTGGTGCCCTCAGATGGCCATTTGCACATACTACAAGTTTCCTCACGGCCCTGTAGTCTACCTGTGATGGGTCTTAAGTTTGCAGTTACTTTTTTGCAAAACCTCCATGCATGGGACATTAAGACACGTGGAGTTGAGTATATATGCAACAATGCTGAACTCCTGAATGCTGATAATTTGAAAATGTTTTACTTTTAAAAGTAAAGGAACTTCACATCAGTGCTACATGCTCTTATTGTCTGTAATGAATAACTACATCTAGAATTTAATCCAGCCTAAGCAATAATGTGGTCAGTGCTCAAGTTGTGACCACGGGTGACACAGGGACCTAAACCCAACATAGCTGTTGCTATGGTAACTGCAAAGGACTGGTAGATCGAGTTATAATTGGACGGAGCAAATGCTGGGCTGTGGGAGGGAGAAATACCGAGCACTGGGGTGGAAGATGAATTAAAGGATGAGTAGGATGCTATGGGAGAGTGAGCTGGGGTACATGGAGGTGATGAGTCTGGAGGTGATGAGACAAGAGAAAAGTTTTATCTGTAAAGTCAAAGTCTGATTGGTATTTTAGGGGGTAGAAATATGTCTATGTTCACAAAGCAAAGACGCCCAATGGATGCATCTGAACACCTACACAGATACTGCCTTGCCAGTGCAGCAGCAGGCCCGTGAAAGCTGAGTTGAACTGGGAATCTCTCTTAAACTGATTCTTCACACCTCTCTGTCATGTAAAGATGTGACTAAGTGCTTAAAGCCTACCATTATTTGCCATTTATCTTACGTTGTCATTTCTTCACTCCACAACTTGCTACCCACTTTACACATCTCTCAGCTTTGGTTAACACATGCTCTTCTCAAAGATGTAAACAAATACTGTTAACAACAACTATGTGCAGCTAGAAATGTAATTAAATAGCTTGAGGTGACTGCAGAGCTAGGCCTGTCATAATAACACATTTCGAAGTACTATAAGTATATATACTATAAGTAATATATTGCTGAAGTATATATAGACTATAAACAATAATATTGAAACTAATTTATGCCAGTGACACAATAAACCAAGA